TTCCCATCACAAATTTTCATTAATTGATATTCCAAGTACATAATACTCAAAATGGACAAAGTCAGCAGTCGTTCTATTCTTTCTTCTGCAGTATTTCAGTTGGAAATACTCTTACTGTAACACCCACTCATGTGCTGTCAGAATTTTCCATCAGACTGCATGTTCGAGGATGAAACAGAAGGATATATAAAACGTAGTTTTCTCCATAGTCAGTCATAAAACCAATTTGTAGTAAAATAAAATTAGAGCTGTGGGAGAGGAACTAACAAGAAGACCGAGCAAACAGCACAGCGAGGAGCTTCGTAACTTGTGCACTTCTTGATTTATTATTAGGGTGATCAAATCATTGAAGATAAGTTGAAGGGACTCATAAAATGCATAGGGGAAAAGAGAAAAAGAATACAGAATTTTAGACAAGTATCCAAAAGCAAAGAGACCACTTGTGAGATGTATAGAAGGGATGATAATATTAAAATTGGCCTTAAAGGAACAGGATGTGGACTGAATTTATCTGGCTCAGGGTAGGGTGCATTTGCTGACCTTTTCAAACATGGTAATAAACCTTCAGATGGTCAACTGAGCAACTATCACTTTCTTGGTAAGATGTCTGGTCTATGGAGTTAATTAGTAAAAGCAAGAGTTGAATTGTGCAGAAAGCCGAGAAAGTCAATTATGAATTTTACTTTCCCCAGACTTAGAGGGACAAACATATGTGATGGAGATAATTAATGCAAATTACATTCTACCTTCATGAATTAAAAATAAGTTAAGAATTTGTTAAATGCACACAGAGAGGAACCTAGGATAGTGGTGTAACAAGTGTAGAGATCTGTACTGATACACTGTTACATTGTTGCATTGCCTGAGCAGAAGTTGCTGACAATGTTACCAACAGAAGAGGAAAGATCAAAGATTCAGGAGGCCCAGGTAGCAAATCCAGATATGCCACTTGGAAGTGCTGAACAGTTTCTCCTCACGCTGGCCTCCATTACTGAACTTCCTGCACGCCTCAAATTGTGGGCCTTCAAACTTGACTTCGAGAACAGTGAGAAAGTATGGCATAATCACACATATTCCCTACACCTATTAGTTTCAGTTTTAAAATGTAATACAGTAATGAACTTTCTGCCAACAACTGTGCAGCTGTTTAAGTCTCATAGCTTCACAACCAAGGAGAATATTAATTTATATTCATTCTTCAAAAGATTAGCAGGAAGACTGAAAAGAACGTGTGTAAAAAGTAACACTTCATGTTCTTTCTGTATACTACATTATTTTCAGTATTTATATTATATTTCCTTTAATGCTTATTTTATTTTATTATATAGTAAACCATCCTGTTTTTATGTGCAGCTTTTATAAACCTAGAAGTACTTGGTTTCATTACTCAGTACTAGAATACAACTTAATTTGTAGATCTTCATAGATTTGAAAGGTACACTCCATTTACTAGACTGGTTTGTTTGTGTAGGTATGCTAGTATAGTTTTCTGTAATTTAGTTTTCTCCATTTCAAGACTTCCCGGTAATATTAATAACAGTATCTACTTCACATTCAAATTATCATGTTAACTTACTTGTATAGTTTTCTCTGTTTCTTATATTTAGGAAATAGCAGAACCATTAATGGATTTAAAGCAGGGAATGGAAACCCTGAAAGCAAACAAGACATTCCATGGGATCCTCAGCACATTGCTGTCAATAGGAATCTTCCTAAATGGCAATGAGGTGAGTTGTAATAATCTCCCATAATATTCAAAACAGCAGTAGAGTATTCAAACATACCAGAAGTCAAATATAGGAATAGAGATCAGGACATAATTTTATACATTTTAACCTATGCTCTGTATAGGTAGTAACACAGTTTGCATGTTATCAGTGCAAGACAGCATCTTACTTCTAACCCAGAAACATTGTAGTTGCAATATACTTTGAAACTGAGGTTCTCCCTTTGTGTTGCAGTAGCAGGTGTGAAATTGAATTATCTCTTCTGTGTGGCATTAATGTATTATGAAAATATTGTGTCATTACACTTTATGTGAAAAAATTAGAACAGTGTTATTCAGAACACACTTGTGGTTGCCATTTTGATTCCTAAGTGTGCATGTAGATTAAAGGATATAGACTTCATACTGTATTTCACAGGCTACAGGCTATCAGGCAACTTCTGAATAATGAAAGTTCAGGTGATTACTATAGACTTGAAATCAGGAGGTGCACAGTTAAAATTGTGACTGGGTTACCAGCTTTTCTGAATAATGGTTTCTGCAGTTTTCATGAATAATGCCAGGCATATACTAGTTCAGTACCTTGAAATAGGTTACTGCTATTTCCTTTTAAATCTTTGCCTCTTCACCTATAATGATCATCTTACCCTCTGCACTATACAATTGAAACAATGTTAAGTAAGCTAAGAATCAGTAGGCCGCACCATAGCTCAAGCGGTTAATTGCTGGCTTCCCACTGCGGCGGCCCGGGTTCAATCCCGGGTCTGGTCAAGTGGGATTTGTGGTGGACAAAGTGGCGCTGGGGCAGGTTTTCTCCGAGTACTTCGGTTTCCCCTGCCAATCTTCATTCCACCAATTGCTCCACAATCACCCCCACCTATCATCTGGGGCTGGTACAATAGGCCAGAAGTGGCTGCATACAATGGACTTAGCCCCACCCCACTAGCAATAAAAGAAAGAAAAAAAAAAGCTAAGAATCAGCCAGTCTTAATTGTTACTATTTAAGAAATTATGCCTTGCTATTCCTTGTCATCTGACAGCCATTTTATGAAACAGTAATTAATTATTCCACATTCAGTGGCCCAGCTATCTAACACTCAACTTCACGAAAAATTCAGTCCTTATTAACTCTCTTTCACAATCACAGTTAGGTTATACAATTTCTTAAGAAATGTACCAAAAAACCATAAATTGTTGTGTTTACAGGTTAAGGGGTTCCAAATTGAGTATTTGGCTAAAGTTCCAGAAGTAAAGGACACAGTACACAAGCACTCTCTTCTACACCATTTGTGCCACATGGTAATGGAGAAGTTTCCTGACTCATCTGATCTGTATTCAGAGATTGGAGCTGTGACTCGTGCATCAAAGGTGGACTTTGATGAACTTTCTGCCAACATTCTCAAGATGGAGCAAGAGTGCAAAGCATCTTGGGACCATCTCAAAGTCATTGCTAAACATGATGGCTGTACCATGAAAGTCAAGTATGTAGGTTAAATCTGTGTCGAGGAATGATATAGGATTATCAGATTAACTAAATTGAACTCTTTTAGTATAACTTAAAGGTTTAACGTCCTTGATTTTAAAGCTTTCCCTTTGACATGATACTGAGCAAGTTCAGTTGACCAGTTCTCACAACCTTAATATTATTTCCCCACCTCCTTTTGAGTCTTCCAAATGTCTTTTACTCAGGAGGTTTTCCTACCAAAGTTCTGTATGCAATTATTGTCTTAGGTATTTGAGCTACATTTCCAGTCCAGTTTGCTGTTCTAACAGTACTGAATGGCCTGCATAAGGATATTAGCTAAATAAATTCATGCAACAGAGTCCTGATAGTTGCCCAGATGATGAAGAAGTTGATAGAATCTGAAGAATTATCATCATGTTACCATGTTCACTGGATTCTATCCTGAACCATTTGACCTCGTATCATCTTTCCTTTAAGATTCGTTTTGGGGTGTGATTGTAGACGGTATGAATTGGATATTAGATTTATTGACACATTTATACACACCACACGGAAATACAGGTAATTACAGTGCTATCACTAATGTCCACAATTCACTGATCACCGCAGAAATAAGTATTTTTTTACCCACCTGCTATGTCTTCAACAGCCATTCCCTAGCAACGGCTTCTACTAACAGTGAGGATTCTTGAGCTTCCTGCACTCATGTCATTACTTTGCAGCAAATAGCCTGCAACTGAACTCTTGTCCACTGTGAAAACTCATCTATAGCGCTCCCTCTATTGTTGTTATGAGCAGTTGCTTAGCAATAGTCTGAATATTGTTCCTGCAGGAATGTGTTTACTGAGCCCTTACCAAGCAATGTATGTTTCTTCTTGTGATCATTGCATAGCAGCGGTGCTATATGTTACAATATACAAGGTGGTTCAAATATGACCGGGACTGATTTGTGTGTAAACAAGCCGCACTGTGCAGCAGCTATGCGACCTTGAGAGAGTGAAGCCACAACCTCCACCCTCCCTCCTGTTCGGGTTAGAACCTGTTCAGTCCTGTCTGGGAGTTGTTAGAATGATGAGCGAACAGAAGGTACCACGGAGTATGGAACAACGCATTGTGATCAAATTCCTTGTTGGAGAAAACGTCCTGTCTGCTGAAATCCACCACAGACTCCAACAACAGTATGGGGAAGTGTCTCTCTCACGGACCAATGTGTTTGAGTGGTGTAAGTGCTTCAGAGAGGGCAGAGAGCACATGGAGAATGAACCGTATGATTGTCGGCCACGAACATCCATCAACGAGCCAAACATTGATTGTGCAAACGTACTTATTCGTGAGAATAGGCACATCACTATCAAGGAACTTGGAGCAATGCTGTCCATCAGTGTTGGTAGTGTAGAAGACATTGTGAAATACCACCTGCACTATCACAAGGTGAATGCACAGTGAGTACCACACACTTTGACGGACGTGAACAAAATGGTGCACATGCAAGCTGCCATTCATCTCCTACAGCAGTTTTAAGACGAAGGTGATGCATTTTTGAAGTCTGTAGTGACCACCGATGAAACGTGGGTGCACTACTTCGTTCTCGAGTCCCAGCAGTCATCACGCAAGTGGCGGCATTACCAGTTCTCCCAAACCCAAGAGAGCGCGGAGGAGCCGTTCAGCAGGAAAAGTGATGGCAACGTTCTTCTGGGACTGGCAGGGGGTTATCCATGTAGACTTTCTGACAGATGCCAGAACAGTCAATGCAGTTTATTACTCAGACCTCCAGCCAACAGGCATGAAGGAAAAGATCTGATCCAAGCAGAAGACAGGTGGAAAGTGGGTAGCCTTCCTTCAAGACAATGCATGCCCCCATATGGCCAAAACACACTGGAAACCCTCTGGAAATTGAAATGGAACCTTCTGACACAGCCGCTGTACAGTCGCGATTTGGCCTCAAGTGATTTCTACCTGTTCAGAAGGCTCAAATCAGACTTACAAGGCATGCGGTTTGTGGACGACGCCATCATCCAGACTGTTCAAGAGTGGATATGCCACCAACCACAAGCTTTTTTTGAACAGGGCATCAGGATGATTCCAGAACGTTGGAAAAAATGTGTTGACTCTGAAGGGGAGTACGTTGAAGACTGACATGTGCAAGTAAGTGTTTGGCAATTATGGTTTTCAAAAAAAAAAAAAAAAATCAGTCCCGGTCATATTTGAACCACCTTGTATAAACAGGGTTTTCATAAGATATATTCAAAGTTAAATTGCCACATCTGCACTGAGAATTTTAAAATGTGAATAATTGTACACCAGCTGTTGTTGTGGGAAACAGCATTTACTGTCATGTCAGAGGAATAGAAAGGTGACCGGAGGTAAACTGAAAGCCTGTATTTGAATAGATTTTTTTTATTGCTAGTGGGGTGGGACTAAGTCCCTTGTACTGCGGGCACTTCTGGCCTATTGTACCTGCTCCAGATGATAGGTGAGGGTGATTGTGGAGCAATTGGTGGAATGAAGATTGGCAGGGGAAACCGAAGTACTCTGAGAAAACCTGCCCCAGCGCCACTTTGTCCACCACAAATCTCACTTCACCAGACCCGGGATCGAACCCGGGCCACTGCGGTGGGAAGTCAGCGACTAATGGCTTGAGCTATGGCGCAGCCCAATTTGAATAGGTAATATAGTAGTTTCTATTTGCAAATTGAAGACATCATCTCTGAAGTGACTAGCCTGTAGTATTCTTTCACACCATGATACTTATATCTTGTTGTTGGGTTTTAAGCATAGAAGGAATTAAATATAATCAGTTTTCAATTTAGGTCAACTGAAATTTATAATGGAGTTTACTTGATATTGAGGTAATATGATGGAGATCTTAGGCTCTTGCATATCTCACTTTTATAGTACCTGGTTTATTGTGACTTAAGTCAGTCATTATTTTTGTTACAGAATGTCAGACTTCCTGGCAGACTGTGCTGAGAGAATTATTGTGCTGAGCATTGTTCATCGCCGAGTGATGAACAGGTGAGTCCACTGTTCACATTAAACTTTCAGGCTAACGAGGATTGATTAAGTTTACTGCTGCATGTGTAGTTTAGACAACGTGCATAAAATGAATGTGTAATGGAAGAGAGTGTCTGTCCAGTCATCCACAAGTTGCATCATAACAGATTTTGGTTTGACTTAGTAATGGGGAACAACACTAAATATTGTTAGCTGAAGTTGAGTTTCGTGCATATTTCTTCTGTATAACCTACTTTACTTGTGTGAAGCTAAAATCAAAGTCATAATTTTTTATAAAAAGTAGCTCAACATACAAAGATTTTCTACACAAAATGATCTTGTTAAGAGCTACAACTTTCTTGTGGATAATTTCTGATATGGAAATATTTAACTAAATAAAAGGAAACTTTGATTTTCCAGTGGTTTATATAACATGATAAGTTTTGCAACAGCAGATTTGTATCTGCTATAACTGAACTTCGAGACCAATTTACCAGTCGTGTACAAAATTACAAAGAGTGTGCTTGACAAATATGTATTCCTTGATTCGAAGTACATCCATACTCTGTGATGGGAAAATGTTACTCTGGATGAATCTGGTGGCTGTGTGCAGGTTTCACAAGTTCCTGCTATGGCTGGGAATCCCACTGCACCGTGTAGCAGATACAAAACCCAATGAGTTCTGTCGCATTGTATCAGAATTTTCACTGGAATATCGCACAACACGGGAACGTGTATTGCAGCAGTTGGAGAAGAAGGCAAACCACCGTGAACGTAATAAGACTCGTGGCAAGATGATTACTGAGGTATATTTTTATGAACTGAATTGAACTGCCTGAAATAAATTTTTTAAACTTAGAAATATTAAAAGTTGTATGGCATTAATTAATTGACAAATTCAGAACCATGCAAGGTGATTTATGCTACCCTGAGGGGGGGGGGGTGCATGCACCCATTTATGCGCTCTTGTGTTTGTAATATGTATTAATGCGTTGTGTATATGTAAGAAACTTTCAAAAAGGGCGTGTTTCATGTAAGATGGTGAACCAGTGATTTTTTTAATTAGAGAATGTGTATTAATTGGCTGGATGGCATAAGTAGGCTGGTACACAACTTTCATAAACATAAATGTAGTAACTGGAATAGCACCATTTAATGGTTATTTTCTGTCTTTAATACTGCAGGTAGGAAAATTCCGCACAAAGGAAGACCGAGCTGACGCAGAACTGAGGCAGTTATTAGGCAGTGACCTCTCTGATGCAGACAGCATCCATGGTACCTTGCCCTGGCGGCGACAGCGTAAGGATGTGGGTTAGTTAAGCTTTCATCTGCTTAGGATGTTCCAAATTGCTAATAAAACTTCCAGTACCTATAATCACTTGTATTTCTTGTACCCTATAACTTGAAGTAGCATTGTGTAAACCTATTTACTCACATAATTATATTATGGTGTTAATTTCTTTCCTTATGTTTGAGGAGAAATATAATTAACTCCTTGTAATATCTAACACAATGGAACCTAGTAAAATGAAATGTTCTGTGCTGTTTTGTGTAACAAAGCATAATCTACAATGGGCATTTAACTGGTGTGAAAGCATCTGGATACAATGACTTCAAATTCCATGGCAAAGTATTAATTTTAATTATCATGGATCTATAAATCCACTCCCTCATACACTTTCATGGCATAGTGCTTAATTTGTTCAGCACAGGAACAATTTTACATACTTACTTTTACATAACTCCTCTATATTTTACTTCATGTCCTTTTAAAACAGTAATGAACAACCCACAGTCCTACAGTTTTATTGTGATTTACTTGTAGGACCAGTGGCTACTTTCATAAGCAAGAAGATACTGCACATATTGTGGGAGGTCATGTGTATGTAGAGACAACCACTTGTTGAATTGTTCTATAAATATTTATTATAATTGCACAGTATACACAGACGAACTTGAACTGACGGTCATTGGCTGAAGACCACAGTAGTGAACACTGCAACACCCTGAATGTTGTACTGAATCGCATCTCTAAACTGGAACTCCCAAAGTCAAAGTCATTTTTGTGACTGACAGTCAGTCAGTCCATAAGTCTTGGTGTCGAGCCCCACGGTCTTGTTTCTGTGGGGCGCCCTCTCTTGTGAGAGGACGAGTCTGTCTTTTGTATATGCTGCTGGCCCTTGTCAGTGCAGTCTTTCTTGGGTCCGAATCTCTTGGGACTCGTGACCATACTTTACTGTTTTAGATTTGAGACTTCCCTTTTCATCGCCTCCTACGACTCGCAGGGTCACGGTGGAGGTATTCAACCCCGCCTCCACACAGGGTATGAAACACTTCCAAGTCCAAGTCACATTGCGACTGACGGTCAGTCAGTCAGTAAGTCATGACCAGATGTTTATCACTGTTTGAAATTTATGGTCTTGCTTTTGCTAGACATCCTCTCTGATGAGAGGATGGGTCTACCTTTCGTATATGCTGCTGACCCTTGCCAGCATAGTCTTTCTCGGGTCCAAGTCCATTGGGGCTCGGAACCATATTTTACTGTCTCAGACTTGAGACTTCCCTTTTCGTCGCCTCCTACAACTCACAGGGTCACAGTGGAGGTATTCGACCCCGCCTCTACACAGGGTTGGAACTCCCACTCAGTGTATATCCTTATTTAACCCCAAGTTGGACCTATAGAAAACACATCACTGTCCATATTGTTGTAGGCCTTACCTAGCACTGGCTGTTTACTCAGCCATTGCTAAGCAGTGAATGGTTCCTGGGTTGTGATTGGCTAGCACTTGAGCCACTGTGGGTGGTTCCCATAAACACATATTGTTGTAGACTTTACCTAGTAACAACTATTTACTCGCCATTGCTAAGCAATGATACTAGAATTGTGACTATAATGTTTGCTTGAATGTGGGCAGTTCCCACATATTAAATACAATGGTGCTCTGCAGCACAATAACTCACAATTTAGTCATAACATTCAGGTTTGAAGAAGCTGTTTTTAATAAACATTTTTCATGAAAATAACAGCTAATAACAGACACACTCTTGTTGCCAGATCCACTTACTAACAGAATTAGTACTGTGTTACCATAATGTCATGCACCACCATAATCTTAATGTATAGAGAGTGTTTAATTATAAATTATGTTAGTTCCGTGTACTTTGAAAGTATTGTGTAGAAACATAACTGTTATTAATTGCACATTTGGAATTTTCTTCGCTGCCCATGTTGACACCGTCATGCGGCAGGTGGCGTATAATTACTGCTCTGTTATACATTGATGCTTGTATGTCTCGTCCTTGAGAGGGTTCTGGCCAGTTGCCATGCCTTGTCATGCAGACTGATCTTTTGTGGGACATTTCCCATTCCATTATTATTCATGGAACATAAACCAAATTGCAGAGGAAACAGCAGAACTTAAGAAATAAAGTACTTCAGCACAGTCTTGCTCACTAACATCGAGTCTCAGGCATGAGTCTTATTGAAAATTTGTCTACTACATGCAGGACTTACTGTTATTCATTCTTCCAGTTCCTTCCTTGTTCCCTTTTCATCTGGTCATTAGACATTGATTGTTTAATGGGTTGAAAGTCAACAGTTGCCTTGACAACCTGTGACTGTCAAAAACTAAACTTTAACTTAATCCAAATGTCCTGCATGCCAGAAATGTTTGTACCATTACAGCTTCAGCATCAGTGTCTGTCTGTGGTAACAGGTCATGCATATATTGCACAGCCCATCTCTTGCACCCACATTAATCAGTGATGCTGAACCATCAGTCAGTCAGTTATATGAGGGGCAGTCAAATGAAAACGGGTCAGATGCCAAAACATATCAAAGGACATTTCTTACCTGAAAAGTAATCACCAAAACTGTTAATACATTTATGNTGCGCTTTAGTTTCAAGATAAATATAAGCAATAAATATAACGCCTCACATACCAGTTAAATATCATATATACCTGTCACAGTCATACAATAGTCTGAAATCATTTACATAATTTAATGTAATCGTGTGTTAAAAAATAAATTATTAATAAAGTATTATAAAAATATTCATCGGGAAGTAGTTTGGTAAAATTCATCAATGCTATAAAATGCATGTTCAGTGAGATATCTTCTCAATAAAAATTTGAACTTCTTAATTTCTCCAGATGATGATTTAATATTCAAAGGTAATTTATTATACAATTTGCTTCCAGAGAACATTCGATAGCATTCCAGGGCATTTTGACTTTATGGCATGTCTCACTCTCTGCAAAGTGTCTTCATAGCACTGTGCACTGATTGTGGCCCCATGCTCAAGAAATTCGAGAAGCAGAGGGTCCTTGCAGTCGAAGAAGAACGTCATCATCACTTTACTGGAACTTGTGTGTACAGCTGTGGATTTCTCTGGTGGGGGAGAATTCACATGTTTCCATTGTTGGCTCTGCCGTTTGCTCTTAGGTTCAAAATGGTGGTACCCTAGTTTTTTCCCCAGTGGCAAAAGCAGAAAAGCATACTCTTCCTCATGGTATCACTGCAAGTCACTCAGTGATGGAGCCATTCTCTGAGTCTTACGTTCCTCCATGAGTTAATGTGGAACCCACTGCGCGCAGATTTTGCAGTACAGCAGGTGTTTTGTCACAATGGCGTGTATGGAACCGTGACTTATTCCCATCAAAAGACTAATTTCTTCCACAGTGACCCATCAGTTTGCCCAGATATGACCATCCAATGCAGCAATAACATCAGGAGTGATGACTCGATGAGCCTGTCCTGGGTGAGAATCAACTTGCAGTGACATGTCCCTCTCAGAATCTCTTATGCCATGCTAGCACACTCAAACGTGACATGCTATGTTCGCCGTAAACAACAGACATGTGACGGATTTCTCATCCTCCTACTTCTTCAGCAATCAAAAAGCGCCCTACACTTCGCTGTTCTTCTTTACCCGTCTCCATTACTGATGTTGGACGACCACGTAGCACTAACCTTCAGTTATTCAGTATTGAGGGGGTGGGTTGCCCCATGCACCGTGACCAGTTTGATCTATTGTGCGTCCCCCTTTGAATTTCTACTGTCTCCATACCCTACCGGTACAGGTGCTTGCTATCGTTCCCTTTCTACCAGTGAGGTTTTGGCCTTCTATTGGCAGTGGTATCTGGTAGTTAGTCCCTTTCTGTCAGTGAGGTCGTCCCTCCTCTGGCAGTGGTACCTAAGCTCCCCCATCTACCCTAGGCATTGGAAACTACTTGGGCAGGAAATTGCCTAAATTTAGCTCAGAGGTCTCCTAGAGATATGAGGTTCTTTTACGTGCCATAAATCTATGACACGGGACCCACGGCTTAAAGTCCCTCCCGGAGGACTTGTTCCCTGAATTTTTCCGCCCTTAAAAATTCCATGTCCTCCGCCGGGTTTGAACCCACGTACCTTGAGTCATGAGGTGGGAACGTTACCCCTAGACTACGGAGGCCGCTTTAGCGCTAACCTTACTTCCAGCACAATAAACAAACGACTAGTGTGCAAGGGTACATTGTCACTGTGCTTTCCCCAGTCCCCACCAGATGTTCATACCGTAAGCAAATTCCAGTGCTACCAACTTGCGCGCCGTGTGAGTTATGTGTGGTGACCCGTTTTCATTTGACTTCCCCTTATAATTGCTTGTATTTTTAATTCATGTGGAGGAGATTTAGTGTATTATATATTTTCTACAGGACGCACAGTGTTAAGTCCACTTGCACGGGGGGAGATGGTGAATGGTAATCTTACAGATGGTGATGATGAAATTTTAGAGAGTCTTGTCAAGACAGCAACCAAAGCTCCAGCCACACGTACAACTCCACGTGAAAGAAAACGTACACGCCATGCTGATCGAAAATCTTGTAAGTACCTGTTCGTGCCCTGTTTGTATTGCACCAAGTTAGTTGGAGGAAATGCATTCATTTCTTGAGACAAGAACTGTTAAATAACTTTGGCCCTGGGTAGCAGGCTGTCTTTGCTGCCTCCTGTATTTAAGAGGCAGTGAAGTTTTTTAAGATACTATTCAGATCAAGGGGGCACACAGTAGCATAGTTGGTTGAGGCACTATGATACAAGCCGGAAGGTTGCGGTTTCAAGTCCCAATGAGGTGGATTTTTTCAGTTTACCTAACCCTTCCAGCTGCACTATGGCCCTCGCGTCAACTCAGCCTCTGACAGAAAGGAGTACCAGGAATCTTCCTGGGGGGTAAAGGGTGGCTGGTGCATAAGGCTGAAAACCTTACTGCCATCTGTGAGCTGAATGTCTAGAGAAATTCTGGGAGCCTCGACGACTCACAACCCTATGGGCCTTCACACACTATTATGGGAATAGCTTTACCGTTTTTTTACCTTCAAATCAGGTTTACAGAAGACTGATATTATGATACTGGAACTTAATGTTAACAACTCCCACTCTCAGAACCTGTCCCCTATTGATCTAGTCCAGTGTTATCCTCTCATCCTTCCCTCACTCTTTCAAGAGGTTGTTTTTCTAGACGTTTCTGTACCAAAAGTTTTATACATATTTCTCATTACCTCATCCTATTCACATGCCAGCCCATCATAGCTGCCTGTTTTTCGCTAACTGCTCATAGATGATCTGTGTAACCCATGTAATTTCGTCAAAAAGGTTACTGTCCTTTGGGATGTGATGTAATTTGGTAGGTAAGTACTAAGTTTCGGAAAAACATGTTGCCTCCTTGTTCAGGGTACCAGGATGACCCTGAACATTGTTTCAGCATGTTGATACCTATCTACTAAACTACGTGGTGTTACATCACATGAACAAGTAATCTCCATATTCAGTATCACAAGAATATCTTATCTCACAAATCATTCCTCATTTGTAATATCTCAGATTGTTCATTTACTTCACTCTTTATAAGCCTCACTATTTAAACATTTCATAAATATTTACGTAAGTATGCAGAAGGTATACATAATGACATAATGTGCAGTACAGGGTTTGGTTATTAAGCATATTCATTAAACTCAGAATTATCCACTATCGAGGCATCCAGAATTCTCATCCAGCAGGCAAAAATTTCAAAGAAAATCTACCATTTTTATAAAGTTATTCTGAAACAAATTTGTGATGTGTAATGTTTTCCCACAGAGTTGTGTGTCCCACTAGCAGTGTTAACTGTTATCCTCCCTCATACAAGTGCCATTACAATAGAGTTTGAATTTTTTATCTTATTATTGTATATGTATCAGAAGTCTTTCATCTCTCATTCTGCTGTGCTGCTAAGCAAGACACTCTCACGCAAGAACTAAACTGATAATATGTATTCTGATTTGTTTTGGGTTTATGGAAGAGTGTCTTTCATTCAACTGGCAGATTTGTGTAACTAGCATGACCCATTCCCCATACATGCTAGACAGTAATGAGTGTACTGTAGTTTACTATGAAATTATGAAGTAATCGCTTCTAAGTACTCTATCTACATGACTCACTTTGTAAAGATGTTGCTTTTAATGCAATACCGGCACAAAGGAGGCATGCTGCTGTTACTCAACAAATTCAATAAAATGGTGTAGCCATTTTAGCTGTTAATGTTTTCTTGTTTTTAAGTTCTAATACTATGCATTGCAAGTGATGCTTCTCAGTGCTTCAACTTGAGTCAAGTGAGAAGAAGTTTTCTGAACAGAGCTGAACAGTGCTGTTTAAATCTCCTCATGTTCATAGTCACAGTTGTCTGGTATTTCATTAACCATATATTGTGTGGGGAGCAAGCTGAATTCCAATCCTGTCATGTGTGTCTACTTTACTTTCCTGCTTATGTTCCAAATATGTGTTGTCTAAGGTGCTATAGCCTTAAGTTTACAGCATCCATTGGTTCCACAGAATGTGTGTTGGCTCGCCTGCCTGCCTACCCCCACCACCTCCTGGTTCCTTGTAATAGGGGCTAACGGAGCTTGGCCTAATGCTTAACCGTTGGTTTGTCCCTGCAGTAAAGCGGTCACGAACTCGGGACAATAACCTGGTGGAGGGTGGTAGGGAGTCACCTTAGTTATTGTGGTATGTTACTTGGAAATTACAGGATGTCTGTATGTTGTTGGCTGTTACAGTTTGCTGTGCTAGTGTGTTGCTTGCTGGCTGTGTATTGCATTTTGACTTATGCTGATATAGTTCAGAATGCTTATATGTTATTTGATGATTGTTCATTGTGTTCTGTTTCTGGTGACTCTTCATTGAATTCTGTTCAGTTCAGTATGTCCTTGGTTGCTGACAATTGAATTCCCCTATTTTTCAGGAAGTCTGTGTGTTGTTTGGTGACTCTTCATTGAGTTCCACATCTTATTTGTTGTTCCTGGCTGTTTACTGAATTTTGTTAAAGTTCTGCATGACCTTGTATGTTGGTTTCATTTAGTCCTGTTACAGTCGAGCAAATTCATGTACTGTTTGTTGCTGATTCACTGAACTGTGTTTCACACTATTTTATGATGCATGCTGATTGCTTATTTAATTTTGTTATAACTAATAAAGCTGGCATGTTGATGGCTATTAACTCATTTTGCTTTTCTTTTGGTTGCACAGTGCATGGCCTTATAATATCCAGGTTTGTATTCACTGTCCAGTAAAGTGGAACTACCTGGAATAGATCAGTATGCCATCTCTTTGGCCTTAGACTGTCCCCATATATAATATTCTAATATATTATATCTTAAATTTTATATGTTGTATTTAATACTGTATATTTATATTTATGCATGTGATCTTTTATGGAAGACTTTGTATGTGACAAATTTTATATCCAGCCCTACTGGGTAACAACTGCATCTGTGAAATGTAATTACAAATATACAAACAAATAAACATGATTCAAGTTCAAAGTGTATATTAACTTCCATTCTGTTGCAGCAAATAAGTCTTTGGCATTGCTTTTTGACTGCTGACGTCTGGTGCTGTTCAATGTATTAATGTTATTCTTGCTGGTATTTCAGTGGCTTATAATGTTAAAGGTGCCTCAGTATGTATGAACATGAGAAACAGTGATTCATAACTGTTTTATTTTTAATCAATTTTAACAAGAATTTCTCAGGAAGTCCTCTGTAATACTGCAAATGCTGAAGAAGTCTCCATCTGTGTGCTTCGTGAGTTCTATAACCTCTATTGGTGAAGAATAATTGTTAGCTCACATATACTTCTGACTAGTGTATGATTAAATTATTGCACTAATTTCTAAGTCAGCATGTTCTTTCAGCACAAGTAGCATAAAAGTTCATCTAGCTTTCATCTGTTGACAACTGACAATTGGCAGTATCTTGAGTAAGAGGATTATAGAGCATGCAGTTGACTGCTCACCTTCTGATGTCTGGGAATGTGAATGTCTCTTTGCACATATAAGGAATTGTGTCATATAGAGGAGAAGCTTCTGTCTCTGTCTTGCATTCATTGTAACTCGCTAATTTATGATTCCCTCCCCCATGATGTGTCTGATGTCTAATTTACATATTAAAATTGAGACTTTATTTTTATTCCAGAAACAATAATAATCATGATTTCATTAAACATAACAAGAATCAGCTATAGAAACAAGCTTGAATCCACAGTAAATCTGGTGTTATATTCTTCTATCAAAGTTCTTCAGCACCCAGTTGTATCAACAATAAAAACATATGCTTGGTATATGTACCAAAAATTGAAAATGCTCCAACTGCAGAAATTCCAAGAATTGCAGTGATCTGAAAATTTACTTATTAATACACACTGAGTATCACATTTGGGTGGTTAGCATTTCTGCTTCATATTTTGAAGATCTCTGATTCAAATATTGGTCCACAGACCAGTTATCCTGACCAGGATTATTCATGTAAGATTTGAGGTTTTCACAGCAGTGACTATGAAGAAGGGCATCTTCTAGGATATGACACCATGTAGACCTTGTGTGAACTGATGTTTTGGAAGAACATATCGGATCCATCTTCAGGGTAGAAAAATCCACGAGTGAGGAGCCTGTGTGAGCAGGTGGCTGCAGTGCAGATGGCGGCAATACGTTCCTCCAAAACGTCGGTTCTCACAAGACCTACAGAGTGCCACATCCCAGAAGATGGCAGTCTTCAGGATTATTCATAATTTTCCATAGTCATCTAGCAGATGCTGGGATGGTACCTCCTGTCCTTTTACATTATTCATTAACCATCCTGTCACTCAATGCTTCTGTATAATTTCAACAGCTGAAGATAATATTAAGTAAACCAAAAATAATATTGACATAGATTAGTAGAAGTCTGAAGTTTTCAAAACTGAATTGAAAAACACTTCACGTATTTTGTAATTTAAAACATGTTCCATTTGAAGACAGTTTTAAATTTTGGTTATCAGTTATGCTGGAAAGACTAATAATAGAATTGTGTAGAGAAAGTACAATATTTATGGGGCTGATGTGTGACATTGGAGGAAAGAATAATTGATGGGTGTACATTGTACACTAGAAGCATGCTGTGGACCTAAAATGGGACAGTGGAGAAGAAAAGGGTAAAAGAATTTTGTTTCTGCCAAAGAATATACCCCCAAATTCTATATTAACAAGTTATATAACAATTTTCTGCTAGGAAGATGGGATTCTCATTTATCTTAGATGATCTTATAATCGTGAAATATGGAATATTTTGTGTAGTAATGTGTGGCTTAGGCATTGGTCCTTTCTTTGTGAAATATACTTGTATTAGTAGCTAAATTTATTTGGACATGCTGGAAACTTTTGTGCTTCTGCTAGAAGATCCAACAGCATGTTATGGCTAAATGATATCTTTTGTTCAGAACATTCAGCATCTAGGTTGGTGAACAGGAGTATAATATTAATTCCAAAATTGCTTTCTTGGGTGCTGCAGAATTTAAATCATTCAGGTCTGTGTTTGAAGCCCATATTATGCTGCACTGAAAATTATAACTTGGCATTTTGTTACTAATTTCTACGAACTGCAATATTCTTTCTTGCCTCGTCCTTGTTAATAGACATTAAATTTAAAATCACAGTAATTCATTCATTAAAACTCTTATATGAACATTTAAATGGCCTGCTGTTGCATATGGAGTGGCCTTCCAAATCTGCACTATAGAATTTTTGACCCACCATTTTCTTGGAGTCAAAGAACAGAAACACGGAGGAATCATATGTAAACAGTAAATAACTGCTATAAGCTAGCTAAATGATACAGACAGGCTGCTTCCCTGCCATCTGAGAACGGCAAGTGAATAAATGTCAGTGTTAATTGAAAACTGTCAAAGCCAAGTATGTTATTGCCAATTTGTATATACCACTTTGCTGTTTCAAGTTGCAGTCAGCATTTTTACATAATGGGTTTATTCTTTTGACATATTTGTACAAGATCTCATAAACTCAGTCTGTCATTACTGATAAACTGCTGAAATATGAAACAAGACAGACTAAAATACAGTGCTTCAGATATAGAAACACTCACTCAAATAATGTTAATGTGCATTATATTCAAAATTTCCTACTTTCTCTCCTTTGATGTATGTAATTAGAACTGTCATGACCATATACTGTTTTCATTCCTACTCTGACTTTTCACTGTGGAGCAATATCTGTGTACAAATTAATGCTAGGATTTGGATACATTTTATTAAATAAGTCATACTATATTTTTTCTGTAATGGCACCAAAACTGTATCTGCCCATGTACACCATATCTCAAAGCACTGTTTTCTCAACATTTTCCAGATTGTGACAAACTAAACTATCATACATACGTGCGCGTGTGTGTTTTCACAGAGTTTGTGTAAGTCAGGCAAGAAGCAGGCATCTCTTTCTTGCTACCTGCTTCTTGCTGGCTACTTGTTTTGACTGCTCTTTCACCCTGAAGATTGTGGCAGTATGTTCTTTCAGAACTTCTATCACTTTTTCTAGCACACTACATGGCCTTATACCCCAGAAGTTAGTACTCTTCATAGACTTTGCTGTGAGAACCTCAAATCCAACAGTAACTGAGAACAGAGACAAACAAACTGTTGGCCTATGATTAGGAACAGTCATTATGTAAAAGAGTATTACATAATAAATGTAAATATACATGAAAAATAATGCAATGGTAAATTAATAGGAAAACTGACTCTATGGAACAGAGTCCTTATTAAGAAATTAACAGTCACTCAGTCAAGCCATTTCAAAACTTTCATGGAACCCAAAGGTTCATTACTGTGATTATAAAGCCCAATTTTGGTCCCTGTTCCAATCAGTCTGTGAATCTGAAATAAAAGTAAGCTGAATATCACTGAATGACAAGGCAGGAGCAATTTAAGGAACAGAAAGACGTGCATGCTGATGAGATACCAGAACAGGACCAAAGAAGAATTTTTCTGTTATTAAAACACTTAACAAATGCTGTTAAGTGTTTATTTAGAAACACACTTGAATTTAGAATGTTGCAGTATAGCACACTGACTGAGAAATACCGTCTTAAGTATCTCACCATTTAAATACAGAGATATTTATTTATATCAGAGTTGATTTCATAATTAATTTATGCAATCTGTTACTCAACAGACATCATAATAACATTCTTTGCCTCTGTTCTGCATTAAGAGTATGGGCTGTAAAAGTGTAAAATCACTAAATGGTGAGCCTTAATTCCTTTAGCCTGTTAATACAGGTCTTTAGCAGACAATTAAAATATTCATACCTAATAATGGTGGGTCATTAAACTGGGGAATTAAAATGTTCAAACATTCTTAAAACCTCATATGGGGATGAAGTATGTCTGCTTATGGCTCTAATCATGAACTAACTTCATTTTATATGTAACAATGTGAAAGTCTGAAGCAATCTTCATGGGCTTCATCTGTCTTTAAAGGTTAAGCTCAATTCTTATTTCACTTCAAATTGAAATGAATGTGATAGATGAGGAAGAGATGTGTATTAGTAGCATACTGTGCTGTGTTTCAGTGCGGAGAACGCTGAAAAATGGACTTTCTGAAGAAGAGAAGAAGCACCTGGCAGCATACATCAAGGGTTACTGAACTGGAGAGCTCTCAGGTCTGTGCACAAAGACTGTGATACCCAACAAGTGACTACTACTGAACTGCTGTATGCTCCACTTGTTTGGGCGGGTGGCACTTGTGATATTACTCAAGCAGTGAGAGTACATGAAAGAAACACTCTGCTCTTCCTACAGTGGCACGACAGAAACATAATACTCTACCATTAGTGTGTATTCTGAATCAACACTAAAAGGCACATTTATATATATATATATATTGATGCATCGCTGTACACTCTTGTATGGTGTGTTCCTAGTCTGTTTCAACCAGTAACTTCTGTAGATGCAGAATTAGAATTCCTTTCTTATGCAGTGAGAATTGTGCCACATTTATAAGTAATGCTCTTAATGATTTACTGTACTGTTCATTATATCCATTATGAGGAATGAAAATATCTGTAGGTGATACAGTACACATTCCTGTGCCAGTATTTTGAGGAGCATGGCATACAGGTATATGTTGTTATGGAGGTTTAGGTTTTGTATGAATTTTGTAAGCAAACTAAGTGTGACTCCTTTATTGGTTGTCTGTTGAATAAAAGCATCAAAATCACTTAATATTATGTGAATATTAGAATGAAAGGATATGATTTGTAGATGAGATTTTGTACATAACAATGGCAGTGTTGTTAGAATTTGTAGTTATAATTGTGTTTGTGTAATTTTTGTGGTGAAACTATAATTTTGTATAAATGAATTACATTGAAGCCATTTCTCATCCAAACTATATGAACTGTATGCAACTTGACATGCAAAGATGATTGACTAGTCTTGACAAATTTCTCGGTGGCTCGTAACACTGCTGCAGTTGGAAGAAATGAAAGCTGAAAGTCATGTTTGTTACTGATGGTATATGAGCTGTGGTATGCAGGTAATGTAGGCCTCAGTGAGTATCATTAAATGATCTTGAAACAGTGAAATATGTAGTGATTTTATACTCCCTCTCAACCTCAGCTCCCTGAAATCCAGTTGCAATTCATATTGGTCATTAACCACCTAACTCTGTGGTAGTACAATTCAGAAGTTCAACACTATTCCTACAACAGCCCATTACTGGGGACAACCCCCCATCTCTTCAATTATCTTCCCTTTCCATTGATCTTTCCAAGTGATTGCTTTCTAAGAGGTCTCCCCACCAAATTTATGTAAGCATTTTTGTCTCCCACCAACCAAATTGCATGTCTATATCGTAACTTTCTTAATTTCACTATTCCACCAGTGCTATGTGATGTGTATGAATCATGAAATTGTGGGTAATGGTTAATTGAAAACCTGATAATACTGTCTTCTTTTTTTAACACATATCCATATTGCATCAGTTGGATACATACACTTTTCACTGGGATGTACATGGGGAAGTCATAAAATTGTAATTACCACCAGAAGAAACAGAGACACAGCTGCAAGAAATTGTATGTGAGTTAGCCCTTCTCTACGTACACCCCTTGCAAGGCCACACATTTTCCCCAACAGTGCATTAGCTGCTGGATACTTTGATCATAGAAGGTTTCATTTTGACTGTTTAGGAAGTCCTCCACTGCGGAAATGATGTCATCATCATCTTTGAATCGCTTACCATGAAGTGGCTTCATTAGCCGTGGAAAGAGGAAGAAGTCGCTCGGTGCCAATCTGGTGAATATGGTGGATGGGGGACAATTTCATATCCCAAACTGGCTGCAAGTGTCATCGTAGCAGGAGCCGGTGCATTGTCACGAAGAAGTCTCACACATTTTCCCAGCATACCATGTTGCTTTTTCTTCATTTCCTCCCGTATCTCAGAAGGTTCTGGTAGTACTTGCCAGTGATGGTGATGCCCTTTTGCGTGTAGTCAGTCATGATGACACCCCATCAATCCCAGAACACACTCAACATCACCTTTCCTGACAACGGCTGGGATTTGGCCTTCTTTGGTGGCAGCGAGTCTGCATGTTTCCACTGCTTCCTCATTTCCTTTCTTTCAGGGTCATAATGATAGACCCAACATTCATCCATCGTGATCAGACAGTCAAAAAATTCCTCCTTTTTGTCTTGACACAACTGCAAAAGTTTCTTTGCCACATCCATCCATTTCTGTTTTTGAAACTGGTGTCAACAATCATGGCACCCAAAGTGCAACGACCTTTATCGTGTGTAACTCATCATGGATGACGCTGAAAACTGACCCATGGCTAATGCGGACCTCATGAGCAATAGCTTCGATAGTTATGTGGCTATTGGATAGGATCAAAGCTTCCACTTGTGCCACAATTCCCAGTTCCTCAGTGAACAATGAAAGCGCCTCTTCCACCTGACCGCTGTGCCATATGATGGTACACCTTCCTGATACACAGCAGTCATCTGGTTGTGGATCTCCCTGGCAGACTTCCCTTACAAATGCAGGAACCATATCACAGCATATGTCTCCACTTTCACAACTGACATCACCATTTTGCTTCTGCCCCTTCTGGTGGTTCCCTCTGTCCACATGGTGTGGGAAAATTTGACTGTTTGGCAAGCTCAGGAAATTGGCTATCTCCTACACAGAACGATATTTTGGAATTATGATTTTCTCATGGTGATAATTAAAACATTATGACTTCCCATCATGTCCTCCCATGTTTCAAAATCCAAAACTTAATTTCATCTTTTTCTTGTTGCAGCACATCATCTCTGACTTGATTCATCAGCTGTCTTACCTCCCTACAGTCTTTTCCAACACATTTATATGTTCAACAGTCTTTCAGGATTTGTTTTTATATTGAGTATTCAGCTTAAAAATGTATTTCATTTGTACATTTTCAAGTTAACTTATGATTTGCAGTGTTCGAACATTGCAAATGGAAGGTTGTAATGGTTGCAAAATGGTACAGCAGTAAACAGAGAACAATATAGTTTGCATGTGATGTAACATGCAGAACTTATGGACTCCTGACTTAAAACAGTCCCATGAAAAATGAGTGACTGGGTAGAAACATGCAAAGCACAGGGAACGTGGTGGTGGTTGTTCAGACTGTATGTGATACTTGTAGTCTTGTGTAGGCAGATGCTTATGTTTTGGTGGGACACTGTGCCTCCATCTTCAGGGTTGAAGTATCTCTAAGTGTCTTCATACATTAATCCTGAAGATGAAGAAAGTGTGTTCTCTTAAAACATTGGTATCCACTAACAGAGACTCCATGGTGTCCCAACCCAGAAGGCCATATCCAAAAGATTCCAAGGAAATGGGAGTGGCTGGGAAAAATCAAAGAGAGCTTAAAGGATGCTGACTTGAAACAAGCTTCAGGAAAATGCGGTGGTTGAGAAGAAACAATCAGAACTTTGGGAGTCCTGACCAGAATCAGTCTCCAGGAGAATGGCAATGACTGTGAAGAGAACATGTAGAGCTGAATGGATGCTGACTTGAACCAGGCACTGGGAAGTGAGAATGTCTCGTAAGAAACATGTACAAGTTAAGGAATTATTAAACTCTCAATCCTGTTTAATCATCCAGAATTTGGCACTAAACAGGTAAGCTGTATTTTAGACCATTAAAGTCTGTTGAAATTTCAATGGGAAATTGTTAAGAAGAAAATGCCCAATTTCATGGTAATCTGTTCAGCTGTTCTGGAATTACTGCATGTGGACAGACAGACATGGTGTAGCTAATAGGCATGGTTTGTAACTTCCAATTGTGAATGTACTGAATGGTAGTGTGTACATATGTTATGCTTTGTTTTTCAATGAAATTATTAAGCAATTTATTTTTATACTTCATGACAACATGATGAAAAGGGACCTGGGAGATTTAGGAATAGATTGGAGGGTGATACTAAAAGGAAGAAGTAGACTTTGTGGTTGTGAACTGGGCTCATCTGAAACAGGATGGCCTCTATGAACACACTGATGAACCTCCCACTTCCACAGCTAGCTGAATGACTATTAGTTTCTCAAAAAGTATGTTCAAGTAAATTTCTAATGTCACAGAACACGTTTGCTTGTTTGAATTACCAAATTCATTTTACAGCTGAGTTATCTTTTTAAGGCTCACATGCTTTCTACATTTCTATAGTGCAATGTATTTTTTTTTCTAGTTATATATTCTGTTCTTTCTAACTTGGAAGGCTTGACTGTAATCAATTTTTGGCGGTTTTTATCAGGAGATCAAGAGTTCAGTTCAAAATTAACTAATGTACTGATATAAGAAAAATATTCTATTTTAATGATGCAATTTGACCATGGTGGGAAACCAAGGAATTAAGCTATGTAACTGAAATTTAATCACATTATCTATTTAAGCAACACACATTAAAATTCCATGTAACCTGATGTGATTTGTTCATATATAATGCGTTAAATATTTATATATTCAACATTTATGTTTTCTTTGTAGATAAAACTGTAAGGTCCATTTTCCTGTCAATTTCAATAGCCGCCTCATTCAAACCTGTAACTTAACTGTAACTTAATTGTTCATAAGATCATAATTTCTACCCTTCTGTAACATGTAAAACAACAAGACATCCTGGGAAGAACTAATTGCCTACTTTCCTTACAGTTGGTCGTTTGGTCAATCAGTTGGTCTAACTGCTGCTGGCCCTCTCCAGCACAGTAATTCTTGGTTGTGTTGTTCGGATCCATGAACAAGATCTGTGTTCTCTCCTAGACATGTACGTGTTTAGAAGTCATGTCTCCTCTTCAACAAGAGGAGGGGTCTGACTAATATTGGTCATTTCCATTCTACTGGGGGTGACTCCAGCGAACCCTCACTCGCTAACTGGCCATCTTCTCCACACATACTCCCCGACTTTTATCCATCACTTGATTCCCTTTGCAGTTTATCGGTCGATTAAACTGCTGCTGGCCTTGCCAGCATATTCATTCTTGGTTTCATGTCTCAAGATCTAGAACCAAGATTTTTGGTCTCTCCTAGACAAGTACACGTGTTTTAGAAGTGTGCCCTCCTCTTCAACAAGGGGAGGGATCAGTCTTTCTGTGTATCACTGCGACGGTCTGACAGAGAGACTGACTGACTGCTAAACTGCTGATGGCCTTTGCCAACGTAGCAATTCTTGGTCCCCAGTCTCGTAACCATAGTTCCCTCGCTTCATCTGAGTCTGGTATCCTCTCCATATTGTCATTAGCATTATAATTTTGCTTTAAATATTATCTTCTGTCATGCTTTTAGTTAAAAGAGTATTTTGGGGAACTACTCTTAGTAGCTACAGATACCAAATGTGGGACAGGCGCCCAGCATTAGAATCCAACTGTTACCCTTAAGGATGACCACTCGGGGCTCTGACACCAGGCTACCTGGATGTTATAAAAAGGGTGGTTGGAGAATTAAGGGGAGCTTCTTTTTGTTGGTTAGTGATTAGGAGAATTGACTATAGTAAGTCAGTTGAATATAGTTGAACAGTTACGAAAAATAGTGAAATAGTAACGACAGTAATACAGTGAGGATACTTTCGAAGTTTAAAAGTGATATTCCAGCGTGAAGTATTGACGTGAAAAAGTGAGAAGTTTATGTAGACATTTGGTTACGACAGACACATGATCTAATAAAGTGCAAGCCTCACGTAGGCCTAGTGTAACTTTGCAGACATAAATATCGACATACCGAAATACACCACAGGCATTGCATTCAAGTAGTGTAGTGCTTCATCATTCCCAAAGTGTGTACCCCTAACTCGGTCACCGAAGCAACCTGTATCCCTGAGGGAAAGATCTCCTGACTCTACTGATCTGACAGGGCAAATATATTATCAACTTTGCTGGCAGCTGCATGTTACCCGTGGGCTGGTATCTTTGGGACTGTGGCTAAGGGCGAGTAAAGTCTCTTATTTTATTCTCTGACCTCTCTGGTACAGAGTCAGAGTTACTTTTGACTTTTCTTTCAGTACATATTGAGTATTTGATACATCCCATACTGCACAGAAAACAGCATTCAACTCTTCTTCTAATGTTGCTTGTGTACTCTGGCTGAATGCTCAGTACTACTGGCCTTTGCCAGCATTGAACCCTGGTTTTGAGTCCCAAGGGACTCACGACCTTATCTTACAGTCTTACAGCTACGGGAGCCTTCAGACTCCTCCGTTGCCCCGTGGACGTATTTACCAAGTCGTTGTCTAGCAACGGCCGTCTCTTCTGGATCCACTGTTTCAGCTTTCAAGGCTTCATGTCACACTGTATTCAGGCGCTATTAATGGGACACAGACAGCATGGTGATCTCATTAGCCTCCTTTTATTTTCTTCAGAATAAGTCAAGTAGGTAAAATGTATTCATATGAAGAAAATTTATGGTGTTGATGCACAAACAACCTTTACAGAATATAATTAAAAATTAAATGGCACTCTTTTCATTCTGTCATGACCAGTGCTCGTCCTGCTTCATATACGTAATCGGAAACCTATAGTGAAGTGTAAGTGAAAGTGAATCCATCGTTTTTTTCTATGATGCAATGCTCCAAAATTTCACTGATGCAGAGGACTTATTCCTTGCGATATAAATGTCCTCAACTACGCAAGAATAGTGGACAATTCGCATTTAAGTTCGTTGTGATGATGTGTTACATTGGTTCCTATTATTGTGACATGACGCTAGGCAGTTGCTCGGAAACGGCTCGGTAAACGTTCCCGCAACAATAGCTACGTACGAAACAATACAATAACTGTTTTAAGCTAGGCAGTTGGAATAGCGGAACCTGAGATGACGTCCGTTGCTCGGAAACGGCTCGGTAAACGTTCCCGCAACAATAGCTACGTACGAAACAATACAATAACTGTTTTAAGGTAGGCAGTTGGAATAGCGGAACCTGAGATGACTTCAGTTGCTCGGAAACGGCTCGGTAAACGTTCCCGCAACAATAGCTACGTACGAAACAATACAATAACTGTTTTAAACGGTGTTTTCTATGAAGTCCGTGCCAATGCTATATAACAAGGTCATTGTTAGAAGTCTCTGCCAAGCAACGAGTAGTGAAGGCATAGCAGACAGAAATTTTAGTGTTTTGATGTAACGACTTTTATAGTGTGCAGAACAGTGAAAGTGTTATAATTATTTCTAGTTACATGTCATAAGCGTTCATTAAATCCAATTATCCATGCCTAGGCAGTAACAAGTGACAGTATATTTAGTAAATTGTCTTACTACAGATATGAAGCCAAAGTATTTTCAAGTTTGTATACGAATTTTAGAAGCCAGGCATCTGGCATGGTCTGAAATAGATACACAGGTCTGTGTTCAAGTGGACAAAGAGAAGCAATATACTGCAGTAAGGCGAAGCACGGACCGACCTTTCTATAATGAGGTAAAAATATTAGTTTACATCGTCAAGGATAGTAGAAGCCATGTGGGATTCAAGGCTCTCACAGCAGTGATTTCATAACGTTCTGTCTTTATAACCACCACCGTGATAACCCGCAAATCTTGTGATATATTATTGTTTTGCGTCCACAATGCCTACAATAAACACCTATGTCATATTGCTATTGTTATTATGTCGGTTTTTTAATCTCTGAATTATGATGGTTTAGTCATCGGCTTTGTGGAAAAGTGGAAAATTCTTTGCCTGAAGAGCTAAAGTTTCTTGTTCCCTTCTCAATATTCTACAGAACTTGAGTCTGAAGAGTCGGATTTTAATTATGCTCGAATCAAGAACTCTCACGCAAGGCAACATTTCGTTTATTAATTAATGTACTTATTATTCCACTTGAGTGAGGGATATTTTTTTAAGATCTTCGTATTTTCCTATAAATTTACTCATATTTTTCATTAATGGTTTGAAAAAATGTTTCCAGAATTGTAAAAAATATTTCAGCTACAACGTCCCTCCTCGTAGGGTCCCGTGAAGTTTCAGTCCGCCACTTTCTCATATTCCTTCAACAATAAAGGCCATTGAAATAACCGTTGAAAAGATAGCGTGAGAATTTAATAATTCCGATCCTCAGCTACGGTTTTCACAGATAACCCCTTTCAGCGTATCCATTACTATATATTGTAGATCTTGAGGGATACTAGAAATTCACGGCTTTCGTGAATATCCGCGCTGTGAACTCAGAAAAGTCGTGGAAAGTCAGTTCGGCAGATTCAGTTACTCTCTTATCTATATATAAATTTATTTGGCAAAGGTCGGCAAATGTAATACCCTTTGAAGTATACTTCGCATTGCTGTTTATTGTTGTGTTTTTGTGATTTTATTCATGAACCTCAGCTCTGCAAAACAACGAAAAACCGACAAACAATAGCCTGCTAAATATAATTAATTATGTATATGTAGGTAAGTGCCTATCACAGTAGCCGAGCGGTCTAAGGCATGTACTTTCTTCGCTCGCTCGGAAGCCGGGGTCGTGGGTTCGAATCCCACTCAAGGCATGAATGTTTGGTATGTGTATCTGTTTAGTCTTTGTTTGTATTGTACTGTATTTAGGTAGAGGCCTTACGACGAGCTGATCACTCGTCCAAGGAGTCCTACCATCTGTGAAATGATCATGAAAGTGAAAAATCAAAGGCCAGGGCCCAATGGGGGCTGTAGAGCCAGTAAAAAAATCTGTAATAGGTAACAATTGAAGGATACTGGATACAGTTTATGCAATATGTATAGTGACTTGGGGATATTTATGCTATGTTATACAGACATATTTTATATAATATTTTTTTTTTTATTTTCAGCACTTCACGTTTAAATGTTCCACTTCACTTGCACTTCTAACGGAGAAAATAATAAAACTATCAGTAAGTACAAATATGTCACTTGTTGGAAAAGTACGTCGAAAAACATATATCCTTGAACTCGATTCTATTGGATCTGGGCCTGCGACTATGATAATGTGGGTGGATAATATAGAAAACCAAATGGACCAGTAATGTAGACTGCCAGTATGTCCCGTTTTGACCGAGGTAGGCTCGTGTCCCGATGTTCTCACAAATTTCGGGAGATGCAAATATGTCCTGTTTTTATTAATGCACATGAAATCTGGAATTAAGAAACATTTACGTTTCCTATCGAAATTCTAATTTCCAGTTTCCTGCGCAGATTAGTTGACGGGATGCGGTATTATAACGTGCATGCTAACAATATACGTAGTTTGAATGCTGCAAATTGCCTTCCAATAAAAGTAGCATTTGTGTTCCGTTTCTTTTTTCCTCTAATTATTTAATTTCTTAATTCGAAGTTCCGAGGCAACTACTACAGTATTTAAATCCATTGTCGACAACATGCAACCGAAATAACAGTTGAATTACGCATAAAATTACGTAGCCGTAGGCCTTTTTTGTATTAACAATAATTTTTTCCACAATAAAAAAAGATTCCCACTAGTAGGCCAAAAATAAAAGTATGTTTATGGAATCGCTATGAGTATACTGCCTGTGTGTCTGTGAATCCCCCCTATCAACTACTGAATGCCTGAACCAACCTCTGTGAAACTTTGTATGTATATTATGGCACTTAGCCAATCTCAGCGGCATACTTCATAAATCTCTGTCATCATTCTGTGTATCTGACTGTGCATCCTCCTATCATTGTTGGGCAACGGATCGGTATATGCGTGCCCACGGTAATGAACACAAGAAACAATATAGGACATTTTGGACGCCTTGTTTTCTGTGCAGTCCGTGTCGTATCAAAGGAGAGTTTGTGGATCTGTCTGTGTATCCCCAATTTTTGTATACGTACCGCCGAAGCGGTGGCATTAAGGCTCCCAGAGCCGTCAGAGAGCAAAATATTGTCATGAGTCCCGTGGGACTCGGAACCAACAATCGCTGTGCTGGCCAGACCAGCAGAAATTTCCTACTCTAGACTGTGTATTCTCCTATCGTTGCTAAGCAACGGCTCTGCAAACACGTCCTCGCAGCAACGAAGAATTATTGGAGGCTTCGTTTTCTGTGCGGTCCGTGTCATATCAAAGGAAAGTATGAAGAATTTGCTTCAAAAATACCTCCACCGTGACCCTGAGAGTCGTAGGAGGCGATGAAAAGGGAAGTCTCAAATCTGAAACAGTAAAATATGGTCTCGAGTCCCAAGGGACTCAGACCCGAGAAAGACTGCATTGGCAAGGGCCAGCAGCACATACAAAAGGCAGACCCGTCCTCTCGTCAGAGAGGGCGCCCCATAGAAACAAGACCGTAATTGTTAAAGGTAATAAATATCTGGTCATGAGCCCCAGATGGGGCTCGACACCAAGACTTACTGACTGACTGTCCGTCAGTCGCAATGTGACTTGGACTTTGAATTTGCTTCAATACGTAAGGGACCCAAGAGAGTTGGTTTCTCCCCCCTCGCCTGAGGATAGAAACAGACCCAGTTTCCAAAACTTGTGTTTTCTAGTTAATAGAATACCGGATGATGAATGAAGTACAAAAATCTCATAATTCTGAATATAATACACCATCGTCAGAACCCACTGGAATCTAATAACTGGTTTATTTTTTGTATAAAAATTCTATTCGCGTTATTTAAAATTCGAAAAGTACTGAAAGTCTACTGCTTCTTTGATTCTCAATTTCATGTTTCTTAATGACAATTTAAAAAACGGCGAGAACTCAGTTTGTAGAGAGTTCCTTAAACAGGTAAACTGCGAGCCTAAAATAATAAAAAAAAATAACATACAGCAATTATTAAGGGACTGACTAAACTTCTAGAAATCAGAATTCTAATTAATCCTTTTAAGCACAGTGGTCACTGTATGTACCACATGTTTTAACATAATAACACTTTGCATTCTGGCCAGAGAATGTGTTTATGCGTCTCGTATGGTTCTCACTATTAACGATTGTTTCCCTGAACAGCAATAATAGGCTGGTTTTTGCAGCGGAGACATAATAATGTGTTTCCTGTGAGGTGCGAAGTGAACTTTTATTTACTGTTTACACGAATCTCAAGTCTCTGAATGGTTAAAAGTGGCTAGTTTCTCTATGTAGTGTCTTAATGGCAGGAACTTCCGTTTAACGAACAAAGCAAGAAGACACCTCCAATAGGTCATGTCTGTCTGTACGCACATTTCGCCTGTTTAACTAGAATGAATTTAGACTAGTGCTGTATTTGGTACGGAAGTCTAAGCTAAACGTTTTCGGGAGAACTTAATTTTAGCTTCTACCTGTGCAATACATACTCGTACCTTATTTACTTTAATCTCAAATCGATTACGGATTTTAATAAGAAGCTCAACTTACAGTTAGGACGAAATATATTCTACTGAACATAGGCCTACAAATTTAATTTGAACAATTATTCTATATAATGTATATTTAACGATCAGAGGTCCCGGGTTCGATTCCCGAGAAGTAGTGGGTCTGGAACGGGGTCCACTCAGCCTCGTGAGGATAATTGAGGAGCTACATGAATGGAAAAGTAGCGGCTCCGATCTAAAAAAACAAGATTAACGGCAGTTGAAATCCATTACGCTGACCACGCGACGCCCTCTATCCGCAAAAGTTGGCATTAACTTCACCGACAAGCGGCGGTCGCTCTGTCGGAATAGTTCGCTTGCAGACTAAAAGCCACGGAGTTTAGTTTCGTGTATATTTAACGAGATGAGGGAGACATATTTTCTGTATGGTGCGGCAGGCCAGTTCGATATGCACTGCACTTAGCGTGTGTAAGAATAAATTAACTTCCTACTTCAGTATTTTTTTATTGCTAGTGGGGTGGGACTGAGTCCCTTGTACTGCGGCCACTTCTGGCCTATTGTACCAGCCCCAGATGATAGGTGAGAGTGATTGTGGAGCAATTGGTGGAATGAAGATTGGCAGGGGAAACCAAAGTGCTCGGAGAAAACCTGCCCCAGGACCACTTTGTCCACAACAAATCCCACTTGACCAGACCAGGGATCAAACCCAGGCCGCCGCGGTGGGAAGGCAGCGACTAACCGCTTGAGCTATGGCGCGGCCGCTGCTACTTCAGTAAGTTAACATGAGATATACAGTCGCGAACGAAACCAAAGAAGTTATTTGGAAAATACTACGTAATCAAAATCGGATTGTGCATTCCCACTCTTGTTTAATACATGCCTTACATTCTGTACGATACTGTTTGAACGAAACTTTATTTGTTCAGGTCTATCAGATCCATGGACTCGTGTTTAACAGAAAACTGCTGGGGTGCGTGCGTTTCGATGTCGCCACGGTGTGGAAACAACCAGGTGAGTACATGCGGTGACTGTAACTCTATATTAGCAAGAATGATCTACGTTTTGACATTTCTCGTACAGCTTTCTGTATCATAAGAGGTATTTATTCAACAAGGTTATGTTTTCCCTGTGCTTAATTAATTAAACCCTATGCCATGAAGACATATGGGGGAGTGGAGGTATAGCTCCACCATTCTTGACTTCGGCACTAGATGGAGGTGAATGGCCAGGTTCACGCACCGGCCGCTTTAAGCCCGGGAAAATAGCCTTCCGTATCCACTGCGTAGGAGGCTGAGTGAGACCCAGAGCCAGTCTGGACCCTCTGGAGTAAAGAAAAATCTTTTGCCCCTGTGGAAAATCGAAACCCGGTCACCCAGCCTGTCACCTGTCGATATACCGACTGAGTCTCCCGTCAACCTATATATCAGCAACTTCATCCAGAAATATTAGGCTTATTTTGGACTCTATCCATCGTCTGGTACTCGTATATAGAAGATTGAGACTAGCTCTTTGTAACGGGCCCAACTGAGTAGGTTCATCCTGCCCCATCCACCTGAGGACGGAGACAGATCGAGTCTCCGAAACGTTGTGGTCTTTTTTCTTCTATATACCAGATGATGGAATGATGGGTAGAGTCGAAAATAAGCCTAATAGTTCTGTACAGCATACACCATCGTCAGAATCCTTTCAAGTCTATTCATCCAGAAACTTAAAAAAAAAAAAGTTTAGTACAGAAGAGAAATATGGCCGTTTAAATTCCTACTTTCTATTTTTTGAAACCGTGCATTCTAATAGGTGCTTGCCCACGTTTCGGAGAAACCTACTGCTTCATCTTGGTGGCGAAAGACAACGTGATTAATGTTTTCTTCGTTTGCCGTAAGAATGCTTAAAATGTGGTTCTGCTGTTTCCAGGGTGAAGGGACCTGAACTTTCGTATTTAATGGTGTTCATATTTCTTATTTGGCTGTATGTCGTCGTTGTCATCATCATCATCATCATCGTCGTCGTTCTCTTCTTGTTTTTCTTCACGACTTAGGCCTTTGGCCTGTTCCGGCTCCTAAGAAACCTGCTGGCTCCAAGTGATTTATGGGCCTTAACCGACTTCCCCGCCCGTTAGTTCTGGAGTTCAGTTCACATTTCTGGATCCGCTCCTCTTTCGTTCTTCCGTGATGTTCACACCAAATATCCGAATACTTCTAGTCTTGGATAACAATGAAGTCATACAAAGTTGTCGACCTATGTTTTTGTAACATCATTTGTATACGTAGTGGTTAGTACTCTGGCTGGGAACAGGGCGCTGAGAAGAATATTTGGAACGAGAGACATAAGTGATAGAAGGCTAGAGACAACTGCATAACGAGGAGCTTCGTAACTTGTATTGTTCGCCATATATAGGCCTAATTAGAATGATCAAGTCACGAAGGATGGGACATGCACGGCACGTAGCACGTATAGGGAGAAGATGAATGCATTTGGGGGTTTGGTAGGGAAGTCAGAAGGAAAGAGACCACTATTAAAACCTAGACGTAGGTGGGAAAGTAATATTAAGGTGGATCTTAAATGTCATGGTATGGACTGGATTCATCTGCCTCAGGATAGGAACGAGTGGAAGGCTCTTATGAACATAGTAACGAATCTTCGAGTTCCATGAAACACTGGGAAATTCGGAGTAGCTGAGCGACTGATGGCTTCTCAAACGGGGCTGAGCTATATGGATTTAGCTAATTAGTTTTCGCGCTACTACTGCGTTTAAAAAGCGCATTTCCTCTACTTCAGAAGTCGAGCTCTCCGAACTACATAGAGCAGCTGACAGCAAGGACTTTCTTCTGGGACTTCCCTCAAGTGTCCATTGTCCATATACTCAATCAAATAGCACTCCATGAAGATACATGTATATGAGAATCGGGGATGGCAGACACATAGCTCTATGCATTCTTAACCTTAGCAGCACATGAAAGTCAGTAGTCGCTTTACTGTAGGATAAACTGCGCCCAATATCCTCTGGCTCAGTGGTTGGGTGGGTTCCAGATCTGGTATCGATGAGGTGTCTTAGAACATCCTACTAAGGATCGAATCCCTGTCGTCCAGCCGGTATCAAGACATCATGTAGACTGACTTATCCCGTCTCACATGCTTAATATCTACCAAGAACAGTTCGTGCAGTTTTGTTCAGGTGTATCCTAGTCATTCAGGCCTAATACGAGTATGGCTTTGCTGTCATTGATGTCATATGCTTTTTAACGAAGCAAAATTTGATTCAGATTCCATATTCGCTTCAAACTGTTAGTCAACATCTGATTGCTCTCTGTCCATCCAATGTAAGCCGTCACGCTTTTACCTTGGGGCTGTAGGATGAAGTATCTGTGTGGTGTTTCAGATCATCAGTTTTACCACAAGTGGGCAGTACTGCTGGATCGGAACTCTAAGAATAATGATGTAAGAGGTTTCCTTAAATGTGACGTCACCGTCATCGGGGAAGGTGAGACAGTCAAGGTGCAAGAATCCGACGCAAATAAGGATGAAGATGATATTGAGGGGTAAGCTACATGCATATCTTTATGCGACCGAGTGGCTAGGACTCCTGATTAGGAATGAGAATGTACCTAGTTTGAATCCCGGTCCGGAGACCGACGATTTTTACTAATGCTTTCATGATTTTCCTAAGTTCAAGTAGGTTATCGATTAGTACCCAAAGAAACAATTAGTTTTCAATTTCTCTACATTACTTAGCTCTGTGGCTTCCAAAGTGTGACACTTTGGTTAGAGGAGCGAGGGATATTCTGTGAAAAATATATAGTAACTTTAAGTTCATTATAATTGCAAAATGTCGGGGATTCCTCCATCTTTAAAATCTTGATAAATATTAATTGCATAAAAACCTATAATATGTTGATTTTTAAAACGAAAGACTGAAAAGTGTTTGATTTGTTTCAATAATAAATTGAATTATTATTGATAACTCAATAATACTTAATTGCAAACTGAAAAGTCTGTTTGTTACCCACACAAACAAACACAAAGTTAAGAAGAGCATGCGGATTAATTCTGCTTACCGCAGGGCCACCGTCATGTAAAGCTGGAAACTACAATCTTCCGTAGAATTACATCTATAACACAGATATACACACTAATACAAACCAATGAAGTGAATATCACCACTTTTCATTATGCCTAGGGAATGTACGGGCTATACAGAAGCGACAGACCTAAATGCCAAAATTAAATTCGCCCAGCAACTTCGAGTATTCACTCGCAATATCAAATTTAATCCACATCCATTGCTTGTTCCGGGTATGAAACACGGAAAAAGTCAGGCAAACTGATAGGCATAACCCTTGCTTTATGCGCTCATACACAACAAGTAATGGATAATATCGCAATACGTGACATGAAACTCGAATAATTTGTTCAAGAGAATTGTATGTTGATTTGTTGGGTTTTTGGACTTTATCCATCGTCCTGGTTTTTAAGATAACAAATAAAAACACGACGTTTCGGAAACTGGATCTGTTTCCGTCCTCAGGTGAAGGAAAACACCTATTCAGTTGGGTCCGTTAGAAAGAGCTAGCCTCAATCACTGGTCCAGTGATTGAGGCTCACCTGAGGACGGAAACAGATCCAGTTTCCGAAACGTCGTGTTTTTATTTGTTATCTTAAAAACCAGGACGATGGATAAAGTCCAAAAACCCAACATATCAGTGTGTTATACACCATCGTCAGAATCCTATAGTAACTACTTAGAATTGTATGTTGTCTGGTGGTAGCAATTTGCTGATGCCTGATGGAGTGACGCCGGAAAGGCAGAGAGCGCGCTATACGATGCGTGTGTATCGAGCCGACATCGTCAGCCCCACAACCAACAATGCAAGTTCGCTCTGTCGTTCTGCGGATCACATTAATCCTTTCGTCCAGATATCATTCGCGGGGCTCAAGGTAAGTAGGCTCATAACACCCATACTTGACCTTATCACATAAATTGTACAGGTCTTTAAGTTGCAGTTCGTAAGCTCTTGTTCCTTACATCAATTGCATTCAACCTTTTTTGTTCGCGTACCCTCAGACATAATTTCTCTTCAACTTTGTATCCCCAAAGCTGTTGGTGTATAATTCAAGTTATACACAGTCTATAATCGGCATCTAAAATAAAATAAATAAATTTCATACAAAATAATGTATTAAATAATAAGTTCCAAATGAGAAAAAGGAGAATCGAACTATTAGATAATAAATATAGGGAGGTTTTTAATGAACTTGACGCGTTCACGGCTCCGCGCTTCACTGCGACCGGCGCTTGGACGGCCGCGGAGCGCAAGCGAATTTTTCCGACGACTCAGCATGCCGATATCATTTGGAATGAAGATTTTACCTTTGTTCACCGATCACAGGAGGCGTTGAAAACGCTGTCCCTCTGCACGGAAATATCTTTCGAAATTAGTTGTTTCGTTAAAAACACACAACAATCCTTCTTGCACTTACAGCACGCGAGGCACCAACTTTCACTGGATGACTTCAGAATTTGTGTTGCTGTTTCTGCACTAGATTTTGACCCTCAGCGATTTTCTAGGTGTATGTTCAAGTCTGGTCCCTATGTTGTCTAACTTTTCCTCAGTAAGCACTTGGTGCTTATGTTTTTTCCTTCTCTATTATGAGTCCCGTTGTTCTAAGTTTATTCACCAAATTAGGAATTGTTTGTCTGCTGGGAATTATTTCATCACAAAATTTACGTCTAAATTTTTGCCGACACTTTCCAGCAGATCCGTATTTCACGTAGGTGCCGTACAGAAATACACGTTCCTCTAAATCATCGCGAAGCATGTCGTGTCACATTGCTGACTGTTAACTAAGAACAAATGGCTCATGGCGCTGTTAACTCCTGCCTACTGCCGACAAAATATAAACAAACTCCCATGCATGAACATAATGCCACGTAGAATTCTAGAAGTTAACTCTTTTCCTTCATTCCAAACGTTATCTGCCATCAAGCACGCTGAGTCATCGGCAAAACTCGCATGCGTCCCTCCACATGTAGAGAATCGGTCGCGGCGAAGCGCGGAGCCGTGAACTTGCCAACCCGATTAAAATCCTCCCTGTATATTATTGCCTATCATACAAAATTAATAAAGGAACCAAGGTATTTCAGCGAAGCAAAATTATATTATTAAATATTTGATCAACTATTAATGTTGTTTTGACCTGTTAATGAAATGACTGAGCTTGTTTCTGGCACGCCGGTATAATTCGTGAACAATTTTAATTTTACGTGCCCCGTAAGATGTCTTTGCGCACCCCACGTTGAAGACCACTGTCTGAGATGGGTAAACCAATGTCCAGAATAAATTTCGTTCCTGCCCGCTGCGGTGTTCTGATATTATTAGACCCTAAATAAAATACACGACTTATTTAATGAATTTTGTTTATCTTATATTGTATACGATAAACTTACTTACTCATGGAGCTGAGCCCTTCTGGATGAGCCGCCAATTCAGCAGCTACTCAAGAATTTCCCTGCATTTTATGGAACACGAAGGTTCATCACCGTGTTCACAAGAGCCCTCCACTGGTCCCTATCCTGAGTCAGATCTATCCAATCCATACCATCCCATCCTATCTCTCTAAAATACATTCTAATATTGTCCACCCACCTACGCCTTGGTCTTCCCTGTGGTCTCTTTCCTTCTGGCTATCCCACCAATATCCTATACGCATTCCTCGTCTCTCCCATTCGTGCTACATGACCTGCCCCCCTCATCCTCCTTTACTTGATCATTCTAATTATGCTTGGAGAAAAGTACAAGTTATGAAGCTCCTCATTATACAGTTTTCTCTAACCTTCTGTCACTTCATCTCTCTTCGGTCCAAATATTCTCAACACCCTCAGTCTATGTTCCTCCCTTAATGTCAGACACAAAGTTTCACAACCATACAGAACCACAGGCAAAATTATAGTTTTGTATATTTTAATTTTTATGTTTTTGGACAGCAGACGAGAATACAAAAGGTTCTGGACCGAATGGTAGCAAGCATTACCCTGAGTTCAATCTTCTCTTAATTTCTTTCTGAATCAGGTTTCGATCTGTTATTGTTGTTCCCAAATATCTGAACTGTGCCATATTTTCAAAACATCTGTTTCCTATCTTTATTTCATGATTTTGCCCTGCATTTTGGTGACGAGACAATAAATATACTTAGTTTTCCCTGGGTTTACTTCTAGACCAACCTCTTTACTTGCGTTAATTAAAGTTTTTATGGTATCTACATTATCACCCAGTAGAGTCACATCATCGGCATAGGCCAACAGCTGATGTGTCCCGTTTAATTTCACGCCCACCTGGTTTCCCTGGACCTTCCTAATGGCATATTCTAAAACAAAGTTGAAAAGGAGTGGCAATAAAGCGTCTCCTTGTTTTAGACCATTCTGGATAGGAAATTTATCAGATAAATGTTTACCTACACGGACTTTACTATACGTTTCGTTTAAACACATTTTAATCAACCTAACTAGTTTCATGGGTGTCCCCAACTCTATCAGAATATTGTACAATACTTCCCTCCTAAATGAATCATAGGCTTTCTTGAAGTCTATGAATAGCTGATGTACTGTCTCATCGTACTCCCATTTTTTCTCCAATATCTGACGAATGCAAAAGATCTGATCTGTAGTTGATCTGTTACGTCCAAACCCACACTGATGATCCCCAATAATTTCATCTATATGTGGACTTAACCTTGAAAGAAGAATATTGGATAAAATTTTATATTAAGTTGATAGCAGGGATATCCCTCGATAATTACTACGGTCAGTTTTATCACCCTTCTTGTGAACTGGTACAATAATAGACTCCTTCCACTGATCGGGCAATTTTTCCTTATGCCAAATAAAAGTAATTAGATTGTGGATCTTAGAATGTAATATTTCACCTCCTGCTTGAATAAGTTCTGCCGGAATATGATCACTACCTGGCGATTTATACCGTTTCAGTTTTGCAATACCACTTTCAACCTCAATCTCCTTAGAAGATTTTACTAGATTTGCTCGTTCGTATGAATTAGACCATACGGTTTCCACCTTTCTGGATTTCGCAACAATATTTTCTTTTTTCAGAGCAAGGTCGTCAGCCTTGCGTCCAACCCCTAACCCAGTGGGTCAGGTCACTGAATTTATGTCCCCCAGTGACACGCTGGCCCAGTTATACATCCAGGCTCCAAATTCCTTCTTCGTTGCCTTCTGTGACACGCAGGGCTACGGTGGAGGTATCTAATTCACCTCCACATGAGGATATTTACAAAGTCAACGACTCTTAATTTATACGTGAAAATTAAACAACGTTAAGCACAGGATACAGTTTGAGGTGGAAATATAAGACTAAATAAAATTCTGTTCATTTAATTTAGCTTAAAGTTACAGTGACTTACCATGCCTAACATATGTGCTTAGGGTGAAACAACCAAGAAGAAGAATGACAAAGCGCCGATATGGAACGAGGAGCTGCTATTCTACGATTCGTACCCACCGCTGTGGCAGAGAATCAGGCTGCAGTTACGGAACTCTGAGAGAGTTGGTTCCAGCCTCATCGCCGCGCACGTGCTGGACCTGTCCACCATCTCCTCACTAGGTGAGATGCAAAGGGACTCTGTTGTACAGTAGTAACACGGTTTATACAAAAAAAAAAACTCTGTGACCTGTAGTGCGCAAGCGAACTACACCGACCGAGTGACCGCCGCTTGTAGGCGAAGTTAGTGCTAACTTTAGCGAATAGAGGGCGTCGCGTGGTCAGCGCAATGGATCCCCACGGCTGTTAATCTCGGTGTTCTAGACCGGAGCCGCTTTTTCCTTGAAATAGCTCTCAGTTATCCTCACGAGGCTGAGTGGGGCCCGTTCCGGACCCACTGCTTCTCAATCTGTAGGCAGGAACTCTGACCACTAGACCACAGAGGCGGTCTAGTAAAAACGGTTCATCATGCTTAAGTAGGCTAAGCAGGTGGGTATAGTGGTAATGCTTCTGTAGGCATCAGGTTCGACTATCAATCTGTTTTCCGCATGTCTTGTATGATGGTGTGCCGGGGTTACGTTGCCATATCACGCTGTATTGCAAAGCCTCCATGGTGCACGTATACCGACAGCTCGTTCTGCAGAGGTACTAATGTGACAGCTATTAGCAAGAAGGTCAGACGAATACGAGGCACTGTGCAGTCCGGCGGTCTATAACAACAAGTTTTGGGGGAACCTATCGCCTACTCTCTCGAGAGATCTGACTTTGCGTTTTGCTTTTACGCCGTCTATGTGCAACTTCGGTTAATATTCACTCGTCGTTGTTATTGATACTACATGTTTCGACCCATGAACCGGGATAGCATAGTCGGTATAGCGACTGGCTACGGGCTGGACAACAGAGGAGTCGGAGTTCGAGTCTCGGTAGGGTCAAAAATGTTCTTTTCTCCACGTCGAAACCGACTCTGGGACCTACCCAGCCTCCTATTCAATGGGTACGGGGGGATCTTTCCCCGGAGGTAAAGCGACAGGGGCGTGAAGCTGACCACTCACTTCCAACTAGTGCCGAGGTCAAGAAAATGTGGATCTATATATATGAACTCCCCCCATACGCCTTCATGGCGTAATGCCTAATTAGTTAAGCACAGGAACAGTTTTACCTCTTTACCTTTTACATATTTCGGCCTAACAGGGCACTCCAGGTGTATAGGTTGTTCTGGTTAAGAAGAGAGAGAGAGAGAGAGAGCGAGAGGTACAAATTATAGTAGAAGCGTAGGTAAAAGGTAAAGTTGTCCCTGTGCTTAACCAATTAATCACTACGCCATGAAGGCGTATGGGGGATTGGATGAATAGATCCACATTTTCTTGACCTCGGCACTATTTGCAAGTGAATGATCAGCTTCACGTCTCAGCCACTTTAATCCTGAAGAAAAAGCCCCCAGTACCCACTGCACAGGAAGTTGGGTGGGCCCCAGAGCCGGTCTGGACGACGCGGAGAAGAGAAAATTCTTGACCCTACTGGGACTCGAACTCGACCCCTCAGTTGTAAAGCCCGTAGCGAGTCCCTATACTGACTGAGTACGGGAAAGGGAAAAGTCCTGGGAGAAGTGAGAGACACTTTATTCTAGGGAAGGAGAAAGATCACAGTTTTGTTAGGTTCTAGGCTTCGCCCGCTCGTCCTTCTGGTAAGGGTACAGAGAAAGACGCCTGCTTTGCTTTCACTATATATTGAGCATTTGATAGACACGGACCAGATAGAAAACACCGCGTTCAGCAGTTCTGGTGTTGTTGCTTGTGTATTCGTTGCTACTGGAAGGCGTGTACCGAGCCGTTGCCTAGCAACGTTATGGGGGGACATGCAGGCAGCAAAGTGATCTCATTAGCCTCCTTTAATTTTGCAAAATATGAAAAGTAGGCTAAACGGCCTATCTGTGGTCGCTCGAAGCAGTTACTCACAAATGTGTTACTATTTATTATGATTTTATGTGTTGCAACACCGTGTGGTTCAGAGAGATCCCGACGTTTCGGAGGTATATATCATCTCCATCAGAGTCGAAAAATAAGCTAAGCAAGAAACCAGCCAGAAGCAGACCGCAATGTAAGCGTTTAACTTAGGCCGCGCCATAGCTCAAGAGGTTAGTCGCTGGCTTCTCACCTCGACGGCCGGGGTTCAAACCAGCGTCTGGTTAAGTGGGATTTTGTGGTGGAGAAAGTGGCACTGGGGTAGGTTTTCTCCGAATACTTCGGTTTCCCCTGCCAATCTTCATTCCACCAAATTCTCCATCGTCATAATCACCCGGGGCAGGTACAATAGGCCAATTACTGGCCACCGTGCCGAGTGGATCCAACTGGACTCCGCACTATGCGAAGCGTTTAACTTGCCGCATTCTTACGTTGGTTTTTTGCTTGGCTCGATTTCGATTCTGAAGATGGAAGCGATATATGCCTCCGAAACGTTGGGCTGTGAGAACGTAAAATCCAACGTGGTGGTGTTTATCATAATGTTTATGTAGTTTCTGAAATGAACCCTTTTGGATCAATCTTATTTTTTTTTCTATTTTGCTACAGATTTCCTGCCAACGTTTGGCCCCGCATTCGTTAACTTGTACGACTCTGCAGATACGGGCACAATGTGTTCAGCCCTGAGTCCAGCGTCGCCGGAGAATGGACAGGCATACAGAGGGCGCTTGCTGCTAGCAGTTCGCACAGAGACTTTAGACAGCTGTGCGACGTCGTCCCACATGGAGCCCGCAAAGCGTCGGGTCATACGCGAGGCCGCAGAACCCCTCAATGAAGTGAGCAAGAGATTTTCACTGCAGAGTGATTCGCGAATTTACAATATATTCCTATCTGTGGCTACGAAAGGGGCACAGACCTGAATCTTAGGTTCAACTTTTAACAATTGGCAATAAGTAATATGGGCTCTGCATACGGTTCACGTGGTATTGGGTCTGCCACTTCCTCCTTCCAGACTTGAAAGACATTTTGACTACCTGACAAAGAAAAAATCATTCCGTGGTTTTTATTCCGCAAGCGAACTATACCGACTGAGCGACCGCCGCTTGTCGGCGAAGTTAGTGCAAACTTTAGCGGATAGAGTGTGTCGCCTGGTCAGCGCAAAGAATCTCCACGGCCGTTAATTTTGGTTTTCTAGACCGGGACCGCTTTTTCCTTGAAATAGCTCCTCAGTTATCCTCACGAGGCTATTTCTAAAAAAATCTGGTTACGCCGGGAATCGAACCCGGACCTCTGGATCTGTAGCCAAGAACTCTGGCGACTAGACCCCAGAGGGGGTCTCTGACTATCTGACTGGCTGTTAAGTTGCTGCTGGCTCCAGCACAGAAGAGTAATTCTTGGTTTCGAGTCCCACGGGATTCGTGACCATGTTTCACTGCCTGACGGTTCTGGGAGCCTTCTGACCCTCTCCCCCAAAACACTGTGTTTGGGTTTCCAGCCCATATACTTGTATGTGTCTTCTCCATTAAGGCCATCCTAGCATTAACATATATTACCGAGGTATGGATGCAGACAGAGTAATAAGAACAAAAACTAATACAAAATGTGTAGATGAAATTTGTCAGATATGTCGCTGGATATACGACAGACATATTAAAGTATTCGTAATTGAAACAACGGAATTATGAATAACGGTACTAACTGAACACGCTATGTGAAAAGAAGTAAACCTCATCGTGTACCTAGACAAACAGTGAATTATTTCTACTGCCAAAGAGAAGAAGACATATTGGGCGTCAGAGTTATTCTTAAGTACGAGGAAGGGGCCGACCTGAGGGTCCAAATGTTGACACTGATGAGAATGATGATGATAAACCTACATTTTGGTAGCGAAATTATGTCACATTACTTGAAATAGCCATACCAGCATAAATCGATTTTTCTTGACAGATTACAGATGAATGAATGAATGAATTCCTAGAGTAGCCTTATGTGGCCTCCGTACCGTCTGTGTCTGTATATCCTCCCCAAGTAAAGTGTGAATGCCCGAAACTTGGTATGTATATCATGGCTCATGAATCCATCTCAACGGCGTATTTCATACATCCCTCCCATCAGTCTGTGTAACTGCATGTGTATTCCTCCTATCGTTGCTAAGCAACGGCTGGGTAAACACTTCCTAGCGGCAGAGAATGCACGCAACGATATAAGAATTGTTGGATGCGTGTCTGTGTATCCCCTATCATTGTAAATCAACAACTCGGTTAAGACATTCCCGCGGCAACGAAGAAATGTTAGAGACGTCTTTTTCTATGCGATTAGTTCTTTCTAGAAATCCTTGTTCTTGAACTAGCAAGCTGCACATCTTCCTCTACAGTTGAAGATCTGATGGTTCTACCGTCATTGAATGTTGACAACTTAGACACTAGCATAATTCATTCTTAACTATGTGTAAAAGGTCCCTGTGCTCAACGAATTTAAGCACTATGCCATGAAGGCGTATAAGGGAGTGGATGTATAGATCCACATTTTCTTGACCTCGACACTAGCTGGAGGTGAGTGGTCAGCTTCACGTCCGGGCAGCTTTACCCCCGAGGAAAGAGCCCCCTGTACCGTCCTCTTCCTTCATTACGCCCAAGCACCATACCACAAAAATGTGAGTGGGAGGGGGGACAAAATTAAACCATTCTAGAGAGGCTATGCTTGTGCATCCGCTGCAAACTTCATGGTCGAAATAAAATCTGATATTTTGGTCTACACTGAAATTTATCGGCCGAATATGATTTCGGTTAGTACCCATCCATTACAAATTTACGTGAAGCTGAAATCGAGTTTAAAAATATTCCGAAAGAAAGCGGCTCCTTATGCAAACAACTGGTATATGGTAAAATATAGTAGAGGCTAGATATAGTTAGGGTCTGCGACTGTTCATAAGAACATTTTTAGATGTGGTAATCAGATTATTTAACGAAACACAATGAGTAAAATTTCTGATTCTGTGAAATATCATTAGTTTTGCAATTATAAATTTGCACTTGTAATGAATATAAAGTATGATGAAGACCGAGCCATAGCTCAAACGGTTAGTCGCTGGCTTCCCACCGCGGCGGCCCGGGTTCGATCCCGGGTCTGGTCAAGTGGAATTTGTGGTGGAAAAAGTGGCGCTGGGGCGGGGTTTCTCCGAGAACTTCGGTTTCCCCTGCCAATATTCATTCCACCAAATTCTCCATCATCATAATCACCTGGGGCCAATCAGTGGTCGCCGTGCCGAGTGGACCCAGTTGGACTCCACCCCCCACTAAGCGAATTAAAAAAATGTAATAAGTATGATGAAGTGTGCAAAATCCCAAATAAAATATATGTAGGCCTACTGTATGTGATGCATAAACTTATACGCTTGTATGTTGCAGGGAGAATGCTGGAAGATGGAAGAAATACTGCTTGTAGGAGTAGTATGGGATATATCCATGTTGAAACCTGAGTTGAAGCGCAAGCAAGTTTCTGTTGAGATCAGCTTTGGAGACATGACACAAGCAGGACAGCAGAACGTTGCCGAGGCAGCTCCAGATGGCATATCAAGTAGGTTCATATTATATACGTTCGATTCTCGAAATTAATCCAGCATTATACAGACTCCAGATTCATTATCAGTCACATCTCAAATGTTCTTTTGAATCCCGTAATTCCCAAGTTCCACCTCTGCTGTCCGTTTACAAGGAATGCATTAAGTGACTGTACGCCTAACGCATTTCGTTTAAATTTGACATAAATATTTTCACGTGTAGGGGGCATGCGTCACGAAATTACGGATTCTATCTACATCGGATCTTTGGATTTATTAGCACTTGGTTACACACTGTCTCTCAATTACATAATACAGCGCTATCGCTGATTTACACTCATTCCAGTTCACCGTCGCACAAGCACTAGGATTCTCTGTCTTCCACTAGTCGTCTCCTAGCAATGGATCTCCACACAGAAACTGTCACTTCAAATCACTATAAATATCACACATGAAATCTTCCAATCACACGCCAAGTCTTCACACGACGAACTTCCCGTGGCTGTCATTTATACACTCTCAGATACTCCTCAATATTGACATCTGTTCAAGTGAAAGTCAAATTGTGTTCTGTCTGAAACTGTCGTTATATAGACTCCGTACTGACCACCCAGAAAGCAGGCTATATTGTTGGAACGTGTTTACCGACCGATTGCATAGCAACGGTCGCGGCACGGACTCAGTAGAAAACGCCGTACTCCCATTGTTGCCTTGCGTGTATTCGGTCGCGAGGTGTTTCGCGGTCAGTTACCTAGCAACGCTGTGTTTATCCACGTTACACTATCATGAAACTGCGGAAGACGTGCTACAACAGAAAATAAGTAGTTTTCTCGTACTCGACCCATTCTGTTCATTATTCAGTCACAGCATATTTATGCAGTTATACTCGTATGTTACATAATTGTTTCATCGATATAATTATCGACAATGGACTGTAAGTGATTTTCCCCAAGTTCTCGGTTTAATTCCAGTATGTTCAGTGCCCCATCTTAACTTCGGAAAAGCTGCCTATGTACTGTGCAAGAACTGTGAAGGGAAATTACTATATCTTATTGTTTGATCCTTTAGAAAATGCACACATGTTCTGTAGCTGAGATGAGGCCTCAGGATGGACCCTCCTTTCACCCTTCATACCCTCACAGAATTTATGCATTAAATTCTAACTATGCCCCTATTTCCAGTCACAACGAAAATGTGTTTCATTTTCCGAAGGGGCGAGGAGGTGGAATGCCTAACTGACACTAAAAGTTGTAGTGACTGCTATCTTTTGGAATAGCTCACGGAGTTCGCTGTTGAGATTGACGATGTTTTCCAGTAAGGCTTCTTTGAACTGCTGGAATATCTAAACTAAAGAACAAATCTCTTGCTGTGACAGACTAAGTTTCACATTCATATAAAACTGCAATTAAAGTTACAGGTTTGTATATATTAGACGGCAGACGAGATTCTGTAAGGAATGTCTGCAAGAGATCCCCGAATTTAATTTTCTCTTGGTTTCCTCTTGAACGCAATTTCTATTTGTTGCTGTCGTTCCTAAGAATTTTAATTTATCTGAATTTTCGAAAGATGTGTTAGCAATACTTAGGTTTATATTACGATTTTGTCCTGTATTCTAATGACTCGATATGAAGGCATTTGTTGCCTCAGTTTTCTCGTGTTTATTTGTAGGCCCACATCCATAAAAGTACAAGAGTTCACCGAAATTCCTCAGGTGGCCTGGATGGAGCATACAGACTGACAGAACTTCCAGACATTCATTGACTTGCTTCCTGCACTTGCTGAAAGGATGCTTGAAATTTATGTTCTGACGTACCCAACATTGGCAGAACTATATGTTTACTGGTATATTGTTTACAGCTGACACTTCATTGCTGATAATTCAATTTTCAGGGCAGACGAATGGTGAGACGGAACCCAATATTCGAAGCGCCACAATGCCTCGACAACCCGTCAAGGATGGCAGTGCTTCCTATAGTTCAGTGTCATATGGCAGCAAGAAACCGTGTCTCTTTACATCCTCGTGGTGGCCAGCTGTCAGGCATCGCTTGTACCATTCCAATCTACTGGCCCATCTTGCACACGAGCTTGTACGTATTGTCATACTTTCATTAGCCATAAATTATTCTTCTGTGATATAAAATTCCTCTGATTTCTAGTTTCCTTTCGATCCCTCTATCTGGTTTACTGGTTAACTGTTAGTGGCCCATGCATGGTAACGATTCTCAAAAGTTTTATGCCTGGTGTCTCCTGAAACACCTAAAAAATATCTGGACCCATAGCTTGGACAACATACAATTTGATATATTAATATATTATATATATTATGAACAATGATTAACTTCCGACCACACTTATTCTGAGTAGATTAAGAATAAAAATAACGTCCAAAGAAAACATTTTCTAATTGGAATGCTGAAGAGTAGGAATGAAAAATTTGTACACCTGGGAAGCCGCTTTGATGCCCATGGGGGGTACCGGTACCAGAGTTTTAGAAACGCCGATCTGTGGTATAAAGCTACCTATGCCCACTGTTTTTGCAAACTAAGCAATCAATACGGCAGAAGCCATGTCACCATGGAGCTTGGGATAATATGCACCATTTGGTGATGCATTTTTTTGTTGAATATAAAATAAAAACTTGACAGACTTTCGAATTTATTCAGAGTTCTAAGTTTGACAGTGACAGATAATGGACCAGTGAAGCCAGGAATGTGAAATATATGAATACAGTTTCGGCTATGAACATTTTTACAAATAATATAAACGAAATACTGCTTAGAAATCAAGAATTAACAACATGGCGACGATGCGAAACTTTGAAGTTTCCCGACAAATTTAACATAAATGTAATTTATGTTTAAATAACAAGTTTTTCTCCCACTTAAGCAGTGAATCCCACGGTGGGGGCTCAGAACAGTCCGGTCGGCTTCTGATACTGTAATAAACTAGACAACCTGAAAATTGTTAATTAATCCTTAAACCTCACCAATGTCGTTACTAAAATTAACTAATCTTTCACAGAGTTAGTTACCACTTCCCTTGAAGCATCTTGCTGGATCAACTCCCTCATTAAACAAAAAATTAACTCCGTGGCCTGTAGTCCGCAAGAGAACTATATCGACCGAGCGACAGTCTCTTGTCGGCGAAGTCAGTGCCAACTCTTTGCGGATAGAGGGTGTCGCGTGGTCAGCGCAACGGATCCCCACGGCCGTTAATCTCGGTCTCTATATTGGAACCGCTATTTCCTTGAAATAGCCCTTCAAACATCCTCACGAGGCTGAGTGAACCCCGTTTGAGACCCAATTCCTCTCAGAAAATCTGGTAGCGCCGGGGGCGTAAGGCCTTATAGGCCTAGTGGTACGTAAGGTAAGAAGCTATCCCTGTAACAGGCCATGGAGGCCCATAGGGTTGTGAGGCGTTGAGGATCCCACATTATCTAGACAGTCGGCTCACAGATGGCGGTAAGGTTGTCAGCCTTACGCGCCAGCCGCCTTTTATCCCCAGAAAGATTTCTGGTACTCATTTCCGTTAGAGGCTGAGTCAACAGGGCCATAGTGCGGTTGGAAGAATTGCGTAAATTGAAAAAAAAAATCCACCTCATCGGGACTCAAAGCCGCGACCTTCCGACTTGTAGCACAGTGCCTCAACCAACTACGCTACCGCGTGCGGAAGTATAGCTATTAACAACAATGGATTTACACTACTGGAAATCTATGTAATGTAAGCTTAATGGGGTCTGTTCTAAATGCCTTGGTACATTTAGGGCCTAATTAATTTTAAAATATACTACCGGTCTCGTGCCAACTGATGATAGAAGTGAATGTTTTCAGGAAACCGTGATTGCACGTCCACCAACGTGGATAAGCGAGGATGAGACGGAGACACTTCTGAGAGATGCCTTATCTAAACTGAGAATCCGATGTGCAGATTACTTGAGTATCACTCCGAAGCAAATCTACCAGGAGAATAATAGCACTAACTTGGACAAAATGCGGATAGATTTCTGCCGCAAAGAAGTGGTAAGTAACATCAACACATGTAAAAGATTAGAAAACGGCAGTGTCAATTTGTGCCGTAGGAAGATGGAATTATTTTAGGTAGAACAGGGTATTGAGGAGAATATTTGGACAGAAGAGGGATGAAGCGACAGGAGATTGGAGAAAACTGCATAATGAGGAACTTCATAACTTGTACTCTTCTCCAAGTGTAATTAGAATGATCAAGTCAAGGAGGATGAGGTGGGCAGGGCATGTAGCACGAATTGTGAAGAAAAGGAATGCATATAGGCTATTGGTGGGAAAGCCAGAAGGGAAGAGACCACTGGGAAGACCAAGGCGTAGGTGGGTGGACAATATTAAAATGGATCTTAGAGAGATAGGATGGAATGGTATCGATTGGATTGATCTGGCTCAGGATAGGGACCAGAGGAGGGCTCTTTTGAACAAGGTAATGAACCTTCGGGTCCCATAAAATGCTGGGAAATTCTTGAGTAACTGCAGAATTGGCGGCTCCTCATGAAGGGCTCAGCTCAATGAGTAAGTAAGTAAGGAAGGAAACTGCAAGACCGCTATCATGTAGATCAGTGTTTCTCAGAAGGGCTTCCGATATAGTCAAGCAAATTCTTTCAGTGGTTAATACATCTACCTGGCTACCGGTGGCCCGCCAGACAACCAGAACTGGAGGAATATGCGGTATATATAAAGTTCTCTCTTCTTCATTCAGTGAAAGCTCTTAATGTTTTGCTTGGAATTAGGCGTGTTCTTAGTGTACCTTAGCGTACCTTAGCGTCACTGCATTTGCTTTATACTCGTACGCATGTCTCAGACCGGTGAAGCAGATGGACTCACCATTCAATTATAGGCTCAAAACTCTGCTTCTACTTATGTGTTTCTGTGGAAATATGAAGAATATGGATGCCGTCAGTTCAGATGGCGCAGTTCCATTTCCGCGTAATTTGAATTTTAGATCAGAATTCGCTGCTGCTTTAAGTCATATGCCTAATCAGTTCCCTTCCATAAAACCTATCCCTATAACAGGCTGTGAAGGCCCATTGGGTTGTGAGACGTCGAGGCTCCCACATTTTCTAGACAATCGGCTCACAGATGTCGGTAAATTTGTCAGCCTTAAGCGCCGGCCGCCAATTACCCCCAGAAAAGTTCCTGGTACTCATTTCTGTTAGACGCTGAGTCGACACCAGGACCATAATGCGGCTGGAAGGATTAGGTAAATTGAAAAAAAAAAAAATCCACCTCATCGGGACTCGAAACTGCGAACTTCCAGCTTGTAGCATAGTGTCTCAACTAACTACGCTACCGCCTGCCCCATTTTCCTTTTATACGTTTATTTTTGTTTTTTGTGTCTGGAGACCGTGGACTTTTGATTCTCGTGCAATAAAAAATCAACATGAATATCTGAAATACTAGAAGATCAATAAATTTTTACAGGAAAATGCCGGAAGTGTGTGTAGAAAACTGGAAGGGGAATTGAGGAAGGATAATATAAGCACATCGAGACGGCAACTCCAACGTATCTTACAGCAACTGATATTTCTCGCCGAAGATGTAAGTAAATATTATTAAAATGTTAACACATGAGGGGCATATGTAATGAGACATTTGCACCAATTTCAATCTGCCTTAAAAATGGTAATGTGAAAGTGAAAACATATTAACTAATATCTCGTAAAATTATTCGAATTTTTAAATAATTTTGAGTATAATTTCAGAAAGTTTTATTCGTTCGTATATTCAACGACTAATCGCTTGTCTGCAATTCACAGCCACAACATTCACTTCCGGATGTATTCGTGTCGCTTGTGGCCGACAAGGAGCGTCTTGCAGTTTGCCGTATACCAGCACGACATCTTATATTCTCCACCGAGCTCGACAAGCGTGGAATACACTGCGGCCGTCTGCAGTCCATTATTATGAAGGTCAGTGTACTGCCTGATACATAAAAAAACAAAGTCCGTAGCCTGTAGTCCACGAGTGAACAATACCGACCTAGCGACCGCCGCTTGTCGGCGAAGTTAGTGCCAACTTTTGCTGATAGAGAGTGTAACGTGGTCAGCGCAACGGATCCCCACGGCCGTTTATCTCGGTTTTCTACACAGGAGCCACCATTTTCTTGAAATAGCTTCTCAATTATCCTCACGAGGCCGATTGGACCCCGTTCCAGACCCACTACTTTAATTTGATAAGACACGGACCGTATAGAAAACGAAGCCTCCACAATTCTTCGTTGACGCGGTAAGGTGTTTATCGAACCAATGCCTTGAAATGAGAAGGGGATACACAGACAGACCCACAGACTCTCCTCTGATACGACATGAACAGCATAGAAAACGACGTCTCCACAATTCTTCGTTGCAGCGGGAACGATTTTACCTACCCACTGCCTTGAAACGACAGGGGGATGCATAGACAAGCCCAGATACTCTCCTCTGATACGATTCGACGCGTCAAACCATTCTCCTTTGTTTCGTGTATTCGTTGCCGCAGGAACTTATATATTGAGCCGTTTCCGGGCAACTACGTGGGGGATACACATACAGACTGAGGGAATTTATTAAGTACGCGATTTAGATGGGCTCAGGTGCCATGATATGCATACCAAGTTTCGTAGAGATTGGCTCTGACATTCAAAAACAGTTTGGGGGGGGGGATACATAGACATACAGACAGGATGGAGAGAGCATCGCCCTACTCTTATTTTTCAAAACAAAGAAAGCAAGCTAAAAATGAGGCTTATAAGATTAGTTTACTATCTGTATGTCTGTGTATTCCCCCTATCGTTGTTAGGCAACGGCTCGTAAACAAGTCCCCGCTGCAAGGAATGCACACGCCGGAACGGAAGAACTGCTGTATGCCGTATTTTCCATGCGGTCCGTGTCGTATGAAATACTCAACGTGCAGTGAAAGGAGAGTAGGCTTGCCAGCTCGACCAAGGTTTTCCGTGGTTTTCCTCGGTACTAGAACAAATGCTGAGTTGGTACCCAATTCCACGTTGCACTGCATGCCTCACATGCAGCCCTCCCATTGTTAACATCAAAATTTCGCCTTAATATAGCCCTGCCAACGTTAGCAAAAACAAACAAACAAAAATCCGATCATATGCTCTATCTTTAC